TATTTACCTGTGAGAATTTTTTCAGGAACAAATAGTGAGCCTCGTCGACAGTATTGATGCTTGCGACCGCAGCGCGATGCATGCACGTAATAGCGTCCTTACTAAATAATATTACGAGTGGTTTCTTTTCTTTAGTCTGCAACAAACAATGAAATTATAAATAAAATAACATAATATTAATACTTCCGCTAGCTTTTGAAGGATCAATGGGCTTTTGAGTTAGCCACAACTAGTAAAGAGAGAGTGCTACTACGCGACAGTCGTCGCGTCGCGTGTCGCGAAATGCTGGTCAGGAATATGGGCTTCTAGCATAGCTAGAAACTAGTCGAGTATCTCGTCAAAACAATTACGTGAGTAAGCCGAAAATATAATAATTAATTTAGCCACAACTGCTTCATAAAGTGAGAGAAAGTTATGCTTAGATACAAATGAGCCGTCTCGACCGGAGTGATACCACGGTCTTACAAAAATCCATTGTAAAACCACCTTGTGTTTCGCGCCGTGAGAGAAGTTACCGGAGGCCCAACCTTAACCTTATTCTTAAAAGGCCGGCAACGGTGTTGATTGCATACCATCAGGCAATCAGACTGCTCATTTGTCGCCGCATACGTCGCAGTAATTGATAAATTAATTATGACTTAAATTAAATAAGACCTATATTTTTTCAACTTGCATTAGGTAAAACAATTAAACAAACATATATACTTACAGATCCTTTCCTATTAACGATTTGCAATAGACATTCAGCTGCAGGTAGTTGGAACACATCGTCTTGGAGTAAAATGCAGAGAATTTGCAACAAGCGGCCATTGTTCATGACTACGTGATTAATGGACACCCATTCCACGTATCCAGTTAGTGTCAGTAACACAACCTACAAATATAAAGTACATTATAAAAGCTTCTATTTGAAATACAACGCGCCTATTATGCCTTGAAACTAAACTTTTTTTTTGTTATGTGTGTTATTTTCAGGAGAAGGTTCTTATGAAAGATAATTTTAGAAAAGTAGAGGGGAGAGTTGGGTAATAGGGACCCTTTCATCGTAAGCGAGATGATGAGACCCGTGCGAAGCAGAGGCGAGTTGCTAGTATCAAAAAAGATTGATTGACAGTTAAGACTGCAAAGGACATGTGACAACAAACATTGTACCTACAATCAGACTTATCGACCTTCAAAACTAAAAAAATCAATCTTCTTTTTTCATTTAAACTACATTTATTTATCTCTTCCTACATACTTGTAGTATAATATTCCCATTGCATAAACACGTATTTCTCATTCGAATCATCTATTCTTGATTCATCGGTAGGTTAAATTAATCAAACTCCAAGCGGACGCTGACGTTAACGCACCATTGTCTTACTATTGTGTTTTGAATTACAAGGATTGAAAGGTTTTAATGACTTAAAAGCTAGGCATAAAATAGTCATATGTATGAGAATATTTAATTTATTTTTCGTTGTATCAACTAACCTTCTGTTCTTTATACTGACAAAACCCACCATGACCTACATCGTAAGGTATACTAGAATAAAATACCTTCAGCATTAAGTCCACCATTGTACTTTTGTGTATGAAAACGTAATTAAAATAATAAATAATAATACTCATGTTCCTACCTGAACCACTTGGCCATGACTAGCAGCCGCAGCGTAATCCCCTGCCGCGGTCTTTTCTCTAAACTCCTGAACATGCATTTCAATGAGCCGCATGAAGAATGCAAATATCTCCGACATGTTGCTGGTTAGACCTTGATTTATGTCCTTCCGTCGTTGATGGTTTTCCAAAGTCTAGAAAAAGATTTCAAAACAATATCATTCAAAGTTTCTGCCATTGGTTTCATTCACCTTATTAACATATGAAAAGTAGTCTGAATGTTATTATATTATGTAGAATATCTTTTTATCTGTATGGTAAATTTCATTCAGATCCATTTAGGTGTCTCATAAAACGCATTTTACTTACCTACTTACTACGAGTAAAACAAATATTTTGATACCAAATGTAATGGCAGAATGTAAATGGGCCATTTTATGTATAAGATCACTCTCTGTATACCTATATTCTAACAAATAAAGAGCTTTGACTTTGTAAAACATAATTCGCATCTTAAATGCGATGTATATTTATACATAATACCAGGATAGGTGGAATTTTTCATGTATTAAAATAATAAGTGATCATTTGCGACCCAAATATATTTAAGTGCAATGATAAGGCATTAAAATACCTACTTTAATACGAAAACTTTAACCTTTTGTTTGATACCTATGCAATTTGTAATGGTTAATCGGTTTATATGCACTGAATTTAAGGTATGTAAGAGTTGTGTGAAATATTTCCGATGACTAATTGGTTATGGTTTACCCTTTTACTGAATAGATTACCATCACTACATAGTATAAAACAAAGTCACTTCCTTTATCCCTATATCCGTTTAAAACTACGCAACGAATTTTGATGCATGCGGTTTTCTATTTCATTAAAAATCAATTGCTTGCCATAAAGTAATATGTCAACTCGTTTACTGTCCTATCACAAAAAAAAAAACAGGATTTTCGACTGTGGGTTGCATTCACAAACATACAGTCCAATGCACATCACACCTAGACCGAACCTGCAAACGTTACACGGCAGCCAGTTGCCCAGCTACTGCGTAAACCATGCAGACTAATTTGATTATTTTCGAAAAATTTAGGCTATTTATGTTAATGCCAAGAGAATTCGATTTCCAAAGATGTGTGATGCTTGAGAATTTGGTGATTTACTGTAGCATACAAATCTATTTCAGTCCTCTTAAAACAAGGTGTGACATCATCCATGCAGTTTGTATACAAATATTACGTAGTTATAGGCAAATAAACCAACTCAAATGACGAGATTCGAAGGTTAGTCGTGTCCTCACATTAAATATTAATTAGCAAACGGACAGATAACAACTGTTATCTAACTTTCAAAATGAGGACTTCCGTAAATTATTAGTTTTAAAGATAATATATACTGTTATGTATGTCATACTTTTTTTTAGGAAAGTCTAAATATTATCATGATAAAGCAAAAGAAAGAAAAAACTGGTTTTAGACAGATTCAGGGTGGTTTAGAAATGTTTTTTTTTAATCAAGACAGTAGGATTTATTAAAAATAGAATATTAGATGGACTGAATGAAACTTTGCCATTAATTCCAAGCAATTGGACTGATTACTACTATACAATGCATTAATTTATAACTCACTCAACTAAGAAGTTTTTATAAAATTTTTTACTCACTTGTAAAATAGCTACATCTTCAGCCAACCTCAAGAACACATGGAGTACTATCTGAGTATGCCTATGTCCTCTGGAGCATGCATCACTCAACTCTGCCAGTAATGTAGGCCACTGTTGAGGCCACTCCCGCTTTATCATCTCCACAATGACACGAGCAAGTGCATCATTCAAGTGGCTGGTGTCCCAACCACCTAGATATAGGAGTTTCATGGCATTTTCCTGCACAAATGTAATGTAAGTCAGTATACTTTATTAAGTAAGGTAATTTTTTTGGCAAGTATACAAAAAAGCGTTTTTTTAGGGCTAACATTCCTTTGTGATATTTTACCTTTATAAATATTTTTTCTGCCTGAGTTATCTGTGTCCATCTATACTTCACAGTATGTTCCATTAACTGCAGGCCAAAATGTTTAACTCCAGGAGAATGCTGATTGCCACTGGCCAGCAAGAGACCAGCCTGGGCACACCATGGTGAGTTTTCTTTGAAGCTAAAATTTAAAAACAAAACATTACTTTTATTCACATAATAAGGAACTTTTTTCAGCTGTTTGTGTTGCAAAAAGTATGAGGTAATCAAGGTCAATGAATAAGCTTTACTTCATCTACCCTAGTTATGAGTAAATAATAAAAATTGTAATATCACCTTTCACAAGCATTATAGGCCTGGCTTCTTTCTTCATGGGAAACGGTGGGGATTAAAGTAAGCTCAACTGCTCGACTGAGTTCTTCTACTAGGAGAGCCACCTCCCCAGTAGGCTCGCTACCTACACCCACTACGTTCATTGCAGCTCAATACTACACCTGGAACCAAATAATTTCATGTTTATATTAATGAGGAAATGAAAAAAAATTAAAAATTAATCATATACTAAACCTGAAACATATTGATACTATTTATAGAAAAGATATGCAACCAATTAGATGGATTTGAGTGTTGCACTTAGTATCTTAATGCAACATTGATGACATGTTTATATTTTGATAGTAACCTCTAGATCTGACACATTTGCCTTTGTTTGTTTTTTTCCATAGCATAAGAAATAACAAAGAAATACATAATTGCATATTTTTTATTGTCAAGTTTGATAGAGTTCATAAAGGTACTATCTACTTAAATTGATTTTTAATAATGTTATGAAATTTTCCTCAGGTCATGACAAAGTTATTCAAAATGAAATTTAATTTAAAATTGATGCAACATGGTAAAACTTCAAACTTACCACCAATATTCAAGACAATAAACCCCATAGAATATTTTTCACTTCATATTCTTTTTCTTGAGTCTGCAAGACAATGAATACTTTAAAGTTACAACTTTTAATTATTTAACAACTTCAAAATACTTTTTTTTCGTAAAACAAGATACGATTGCACCCGGTAGGGCAGGGTAGGAAAGGAAAAAAAACAAAATGTATCAACTATACTTTGATATTTAATTACATTTTATAATTAGGAACTATATTTACGATTATTATACTCAAATAACTAGAGGAAATTATTTAAAATATTCGAAATAAAATTCAAAACATTAGAAACACCTCGTGTCCACTGAAAATGAATCGAATATTGGCCACAGACTAAAATAATAAAGCTAGAGAGATAGTGTTGCCTTTTTATGACTAAAAATATTTTTTCACAGCTGATTAAACAAACTAAACTGAGTTTTTTAGCATTAAATAAATCAAATGACTCTACCCCATGGACGTGTTTTCCCGTCTTGTATGGAGCCATGGAGCGAAAGGATCTTACTAAATTAACCACCACCCAGCTCCTTCTTCTGCTTCAGCCTGGAGCCGTGCGATATGCCATCCTGGAAGTAAATTAAAAACTAAAAGTAAAAAGTTACTAATTGTGGTTATCATAATATCTCTTAATTCTCCATTAGAATTAAAGAAACTCAGGATTTCATATAAAATATCAAATCGTTTCACACTTCACACACTTCACAATCGCAATGTTGTGTTGTTGACTTGTTGATAACGACAATTTGACAGCAGTTTGATTTGAATTCTGTTTCTGTTTCGGTTTCCAGGATGGAAAATAAGTTAACTTATCTTGAGCCTTCTTTAGAAAAACAATTAAAAGGACATCGAAATGGGATAACGGCGTTATATTTTAGCCCTAATGAACAACAAATTGCTAGCAGTTCGCTGGATAATAGCGTGCTGGTAACTTAGCAACCTACATCATGAGATTTTCGTCTTTGAATTTTTAATTAGATTGTGGTTTATTCTCAAATAATTGTTTTATACCTTAGTTATGGGATCTTCGTGGTACAATGAGAAGCTACCGGTTCCAAGGCCACGATGAAGCCGTAATGGATGTGACTTTTTCACCTTCGGGCAAGTTTATGGCCTCCGCATCTCGAGACAAAACTGTTAGACTGTGGGTGCCTACAGTAACAGGGAGCACTGGAATGTTCAAGGCACATTCACAGACTGTAAGATCTGTTCAGTTCAGCCCTGATGGGACAAAGGTATTGTAAAACCTTTAAAAATTGGTTATCTACGCACTATTAAATATATTTGCTAAGTGATGTAAGTCGATGGGTCTTTATAGAGTGATCTGGTGATGTGTATCACAGTTAATACTTCTACACATCACACACAGTAGTATCTAGTATATAATAATTGTCATACAGCTGAACAATAGGTGGCTTTAAGTTTATTTTTGTTTTTTTTTAGATAGTCACAGCCTCTGATGATAAAATAGTGAAGCTATGGTCTACAGATAAGCACAAATTCATAGCATCTTATGTTGGCCATACCAACTGGGTGCGGTGTGCTCGCATTTCAAGTGATGGATCAGTTATAGCTTCATGTTCAGATGACAAGTCAACCAAGCTATGGAACTTGGATAATGGAGAATGTATTCACACATATAAAGATCAGAAAGGTCATGGACTCTGTTTGGCTTGGCACCCATCTGGGTGCTACATTGCTGTGGGTACTTCACATGGCAATGTAAAGTTATATGATGTACGAACACATAATCTTGTGCAATATTATAGGTAAGTTATTAAACTACATTTAAGAAAAGATTTTGCTCTTATTATTTAGTTGTTAATAAAATATTTTTTATATTTTCCAGTATTCATAATGATGCAGTGACACAGATAGCTTTCCATCCCAGTGGAAGTTACATTTTGACTTCAAGTAAAGATGGCAAGATGAAGGTAAGTAATATCAATCTAAGTTGAAATTCAAATTGCAGGCAGTCCATTATTTAGTTGGCGTGTGTAAGTTCTACATGTATACCTTTACCTAATATATTATGTAAAAAAAATGATAAGTTTGATATTATCACATAAAATGCAAATATAAAAAAACACATTAAAAGTTCAAAGTCAAACTTGCTTCTAGAAATATGGTTTTCTGTATTTACTGCTTGAAATTTGAATCCTCTGAAAAAGTGTACACAAAGCTTAATGAGGAACAGTTTTAATAATAATAATAATAAATCCGCAAGGCAGCTTGTGGCGAGCTGTTGGGCAGTGGCGACCCCACGGACCTGACTCCCGGGAGGTGTCTTGTTCTTCTCTCTCCAGTTAGTCCTCGTGACGAGCTGGAGTGAACACTGATGAAGAACAAGCCCTCCTACCTCATTCTTGCCTTAATTGGCTGGCTTGAGTGGAGATTCGCAAGAGTAGGAGTTGAAGGAGACTCGGGGGAAGGATGTATCTCAGTAAGGTGCTGGTAGGGGTCTTGACCGTACTTCCGGGATTGCTCTGATAGCCGTGGGATGCCTCTCCTTCCCCAAGCAGCTCAACGTATGTTGCCTCCGTGTCGCTACATGCTAGCGGCCGTTTCCGGGGGCCCATTAATTGAGTTTGCCAGTCACCCCCTGCCTGTTTATCCGTATGTATCAATATTGGTCAGGGGCAGGGGCCATAGTATTTCCATAGTTTTCATCCACTAGTGCATAGCAACCCATACCCATAACCCTATCAATTGTTACCACATTTTACAATAGTCCTGCATCAATCGGGGATTGTCCTTGGGTGCACTTTTATAGTGCATACAGGGATAATTGCCGGCTGATGTCCCATCACATTTAGATTAAAATTGTTCAATGGGCCTCTGCGAGTTGGCTTTGGCTCCTCGTACGCCTTCCAAAGGTCCGGGATCCTGTGATCCCGTGAAAGGAAACGAACAAACATTATAATAATAATAAGCCCGCAGGGCACCTTGAGGCGAGGTGACGGGAATTAGCGATCCCGCGGGCTACCATCATCCCGATTGCTCCAGGGAGAAGTCACCGTTCCTCATCTCCGGCTTGCCTTCATTGGCTGGCCGGAGTGGACGATGACGAGGAACAGGTCTCCCACCTCTGGCTTGCCTTCATTGGCCGTCCAGAGTGGAGTCGCGAGAGTAGTGATCCTGCTCGGAGGGTGGAAGCTGTTCGTAAGCGGCGAGTGGGCCAGTGATGCAGGATGCTTAGGCAGATGCAGATGATCTGAGTAGAAAGCTGGTGGCAGTTTCTTCACCCTTCAGCCACTCACATTTCCGTTGTCCCTCTGTTGCTATTACTAGCAACCATTCCCGGGGGCCCGGTCGGTGAGTTGGCGAGTCTCCGCCTGCCATTTTTACGTGTATAAATTACATTGTTTCGGCAGGTGCCATAGTCCTTCTATAGTTCCCATCCTACTAGCCCATAGCAACCCACACCCATAGCCTTGTATTTTGTTTCCATTATCCGCAATAGTCCTACACTAACCGGGGACTGTCCTTGGGTGCATTTCCATAGTGCATACAGGGATAGTCGCCGGTTTGTGTCCCATTTCATTTAGATTAAAGTTGTCTTAAGGACCTCTGCGCAGTTGGCTCCGGCCCCTCGTACGCCTTCCAAATGACCGGGACCCTGTGGTCCCGTGATTGGTAGAGACATACATAATAATAAGCCCGCAGGGCACCTTGAGGCGAGGTGACGGGAATTAGCGATCCCGCTGGCTACCATCATCCCGATTGCTCCAGGGAGAAGTCACCGTTCCTCATCTCCGGCTTGCCTTCATTGGCTGGCCGGAGTGGACGATGACGAGGAACAGGTCTCCCACCTCTGGCTTGCCTTCATTGGCCGTCCAGAGTGGAGTCGCGAGAGTAGTGATCCTGCTCGGAGGGTGGAAGCTGTTCGTAAGCGGCGAGTGGGCCAGTGATGCAGGATGCTTAGGCAGATGCAGATGATCTGAGTAGAAAGCTGGTGGCAGTTTCTTCACCCTTCAGCCACTCACATTTCCGTTGTCCCTCTGTTGCTATTACTAGCAACCATTCCCGGGGGCCCGGTCGGTGAGTTGGCGAGTCTCCGCCTGCCATTTTTACGTGTATAAATTACATTGTTTCGGCAGGTGCCATAGTCCTTCTATAGTTCCCATCCTACTAGCCCATAGCAACCCACACCCATAGCCTTGTATTTTGTTTCCATTATCCGCAATAGTCCTACACTAACCGGGGACTGTCCTTGGGTGCATTTCCATAGTGCATACAGGGATAGTCGCCGGTTTGTGTCCCATTTCATTTAGATTAAAGTTGTCTTAAGGGCCTCTGCGCAGTTGGCTCCGGCCCCTCGTACGCCTTCCAAATGACCGGGATCCTGTGGTCCCGTGATTGGTAGAGACATACATAATAATAATAATATATTTATTTGCGAAAAACACGGTATACAAAGTTGTTAAAATAAATATAACGTCCAGCATGTTTATAAAGATATACATAATTTGATTTTAGTCTAAGGTGTTTACAGCATAATTTGGTTTCAGATATTAGATTTGTTGGAAGGACATCCAATATTTACACTCAGTGGACACACTGGGCCAATTAATGCTGTCAACTTCTCAGCTACTGGGGAAACTTTTGCCTCAGCAGGGGAAGATAAATTGGTATTTATTTTTTAATTATTAAATCTATAAAATTTTAACATAATATTAGACTAGTACATAAGACATTACAAATGTCTTGTAAGTATTCAACCTACTTCTCAATCTCAATCTGTCAACTTTATTTAGACTTTATAATTTTGTGATAAAGTTGATAATCTGTTGAAATTCAGAATGGTCTGTATATGTTTGTGGTTCATATTTGCACAAATGTTAAAGTGTTAATTGTTTATTACAGGTTTTCATTTGGAAGACTAATTTCACTGAATTGGCCGGTGACTTAAAAGAAAATATTGCAGATAATGGTTTAACTATACCCAAAACTAATTCACAATCTTCTAAACTGACATGTGCATCAAAAGATAAGAGTCAGGTTCCTCAAAAAAGATAGTACTTACTTAGATGTAGTATGTACAGTTCAGTAGCAGCTTTTTATAATTATAATATAATTTTATATGTATATAAAGTAATATTGTAAGTATGGTGTAGAGATTATAATTTATTTCCTAAATAATGTACCTATTAAATTCTAAACCCATTCATTTCCCCATTCAGGACTATTCATTGAGAACTGTTTCAAACAAGTACATGCTAGCGTTTCAAAAAATTGAATTCAGAGAGAATTGCAATCATAATTATGCCTTACAACGTTCTTCTTCATTCTGAGTTAGAAACACAAGTACCAAGTATTAATACAGTTTTCATCATCCATAAAATAGGCTACAAGAATTTGGTATCAATGTTACCACACTCAAAAGATTCCTGCTGCTACATTTGTTCACATTGATGATGCAAGCCAGGGTAACCAATCTGTGAGATTGACTTGTTTAGAAGAACCCAGTAGCAACAGTACTATGATTGAACCAAGATTATGCAGCCAAACTGAACCTTGTTTAAGGACTTCATATTCAATTGTTAATACAAGAATAAACTCAGCAAAAACTAGCATACCAAGGCATCCACCTACACATTCTGAATGTTCATCTGGGGATTGTTCTCTCAACAGTAGCATTGGAAATGCTAGTCATATTCCTCGTGTTCCACCAAGCCCTACAACTTACACAATACCCTCCATAATGGATAAGTCCACAAAGAGTGTGTTTGTAGGTGGCCAGGATGACTTGTTTGGCATGATCAAATTGAGAGACAATGATGTTTGCTACACTAGTGGCATTATTGAATGGGTGGGTAGGAAAAGAAGTTTCCCTTTGAATAGTGGATTTAAATTAATTCATGACGAATATGATACACATTTGAAGAAAGTGAGGAAGCTGAATACAACTTTCAATTGTGATACCCAAAGAGATAAAGGTTGTGATTGTGCTGATGTATTACCCACAGTAAATGCAATAGTTGACCATTTAAATGCTTTGCATGAAGCTGTGGATCTTGTTGATCTGAGACTTAACACTTTGGAGGAAGTTATGGGCAAGGAAAGATGTGGAAATAAACGTAATTAATTGATTATTAACATTATCTACTAAATGAATATTTATATTTATGTCATTGATAAACTTGTTATAATAAAAATGTTTTATTAAAATACTGAGTAGTAATTACAATCTATATATAGGTACTTAGTAAATCAATTTAAAAATAACATTCATGATAAAACTATATAATATTGATAAAACATTTTTCAAAATCAGTATAATGTCAACTTTTGGCTCAGACAGTCCCTATGCATTCTTATCAGGAGAGACTTGAATTGATATAATATAAAACAAATACATATGATTGATTGTATAACATTATGCTGGTCATGAGTTCTATACCTTTTCCTTTGTCAAAGATATGTAACTTATTGTGTGCCAACATATGTCGTTTTCTTCCCAGTTTTCTTTATTACATCCAATAACTGGTCAGCACTTAATGATGATGTTACTGATACCTTTTGTTCTGGCAAACTTATAGATACATTATCTACTCCTTGACCCTTTAGCCTGTTCAGTACTCTTTCTACCGCCCCCGAGCAACCTTCGCATGTCATTTCAACGTTGAAAATGTGTGTCTGGGAAAAAGAAAACATAATTGGAACACAAAATACAGGGAGTCAATTATGTTGATTTAATTATATTAGTGAGATAACTTACAGATGACATTATTACTGTTAATATGCCCTTTTAATTCGTGACAATCTGGATTGACTACTACTTGCGAAAGTCCAAGAAACGAATGATAATAGGTTTCTGCTTATCAGTAAGCACTTAAGCAGCTTAGATGAATTGGATTGTGACGTTGTCAAAAATTATTCAAGTAGAATGTTTCTTTGCTGGTATTTTGTTGAAAAATAAGACATATCCGAAAGACCTAAGAGTTATATTAGAATTCTTGTAACTGTAATCTAAGTAGATCTTTCCAAATATTGTGCTGTCATTGGCTGTCTTGTTTGACAACTTTGTCAATGACGTTTTGGTACCTGTAATGTATTTGTCGGACATATATAAAAAAAAGCATATATACGGTCGAATTGAGAACCATCCTTTTTGGAAGTCGGTTAAAAATATGCAGCAAACTAGAAAATAAACAATACCAAAACTACAGTTCATCGTTATAGTTTCAACAACGATAAAACAAAAAAAAAAAAATAGTATATCAACGTGATTTATCCGATATTAGGATTAGTATAGGTACGAGAATTTTCGCATTAACGAGCCGAGCATACTACTATATATATAAAAGTACCTACTCTGCTTGTCTATCAGTTTGATCGTTTCGATCGTTTGTAAAGAAAATTACCTATTAAAATCGAAATATTTTATTACTTTGTCATAGACAAATCTTGAAACATAATGATAGGTATTATTTCATCTGTTGTACACTGCCGTACGTAGCTGTCATTTGATTGATGGTGGTGCCGTATGTCTCGCGAGTTTTATTTTTAATTATTTTTCTTGAAGTCATGTTAATTTAACCATTAATGAAAACATGTCACTCAGGGAAAATCTATGTGAACTAGGCTGGTAATTATATTTTCGCTGGAGTCATTACATTACTGGAGAATTTGTGAATATCCACAGTGAAACTAATATTTGGTTTTTTCAGGCATCTAAGTGAAGAAGGTCTTGATATTGTTAGTGAAAATGGTCAAATAGAAGATATAAATATCATAACTAAGAAAGCGTTAGATGTGAGTGGCTAATATGACTATTTTTATTATTGTCAAGGTCTAATGCTCAATTGGTTCTGGTTGTATTAATTTCCATTTCTTATTGCTTTCCAGTATGATTTAAGAGATATAGGAGATGCTGCGCTTCCAGAAGATTTTACTAAGGATCCAACAAAGTTAGAGAAGCCAGTAATATTGCAAATACAGAAGGTCAGAAATGTGTCAGCTCCGAAGGCCAATGAGGAATCTACATCTGCTCCTCGAATGCTAAAGTTAACGTTACATGATGGTAAAACTACATGTACAGGCCTAGAAACTAGTCCTATACCAAGCTTAAGTATTAACACTCCACCGGGTACCAAGGTGTTGTTGAACAATGAGGGCCTAGAGGTGTGCCATGGTGTGGTGTGGTTGGTGCCAGAAGTCATATCAGTTTTGGGTGGAAAAGTTACTCACATGATTGAGAAATGGGAATTAAATAGGAGTCTGGCGAAGCACACTAGAGGTGAGTTGTGATTATAAATGGTTTATGTTTTGGGTTCATTATTTGTATTATCAATGTAGTCCTATTAAGTTCCTGTTCAGTTCAGTTTAACATGATATGTACTGACTCTGAGTTTCTTGTGATATTTTTTACTTGGTTATGAGTAAATCTCAATGGGTATGCCCCAAAAACTTATGGGGAAAGCCATAACAAAATGTATTGCCACACATTTAACAAAGAAGATCATTATTAATATTTATGTAACAAAACATAAAATTCTACTTCTCTATTCAATTTTAACATAAAATCTATGATGGGCTGATAATTTATGAGTTTAAAAGAAAACCTTTTTGAAAACAATTGTCTATGGTCAGAAGATCATTGGCAAAACACAAAAGATTTTTATGATTTTTTTCTAGGAGGCATTGGTGTTGATGGTGGCCCTCCACCATGGATTCCATTTGGACAAAGACTGGAAGCTATTGCATTAGAGAAAAACTACAAGAGTATAACAGAAGCTGCTAAACAGGATAATGCAGAGTTTGAAGCTCAGAGGAAAGGTGCCATTGCTGAAGCTCAAAAATTGTCATCTGGTGTCAAAAAGGTAGCCCTTCATTTATTTTATTCTTGCTGTGTATTTTATGATTGCATCAAATAATCGGAACATGCAATAAAAGTTAACATGTTTCCTCAATTAGTATGTGATTAGTTCTGACTTGACAAAAACATAATTAGCAGTTACTTTCGTTATTTTTTAATTGATAGTAAATCTTTTGTTTTTCTGATACTTTAAAGTTTTATAAAAATTGCATTCTAGGTCTTTGGAGGAGGCACAAAACCCCTGTTGGATGCAAATGTTCAAAAGATTGTTGATGCAGGCTTCTCAGAAGAACAAGCTGAAAATGCTCTCAAATATACTAAAAACAATGTAGATAGGGCTCTTAAGATTCTGCAGAAAAGAGACAATTCAGAAAGCAGAACTAAAGAGAAACAGCAGAAAGAACAGGAACCACCCAAACGCAAAGGGCGAAACAAAGATAATGATGAAGAGATACAAGTTAAACCTTCAGGGAAGGTTTCATTATTTGACTTCTTAGAAGATAAATTGCCTAATGTACCTGATAGGGACAGAAGTAATCGCCAGAATAACTCACAAGAAGACAGGAGTGATCGGAACAACTACAGGGAAAGGAATAGCGGCAGAAATAATTCAAGAAACCAAGCGGCTAGGTTTGATGGTGCCAATAGACAAAGATCTGACGGAAGAGGGCATTATTCTCATGACAATCATTCTCATAGAGATGACCGGAAGTACCAAGCACAGAGTGAGAAGCCACCGAGGTTTCAGAGGAAACTAGAGGAGAAGAATAAACAACAACAGCAACAACAACAACAGTTCCAACATCACAATCAAAATCAATTCCAGACCAACAACCTTAACAATGTGAACATGCAATACAACAATTCATATCACAACTTGCCACCGCAGCAGCAGAGTCACTACAATGACAATAAAAATATGCGAGGCGAGAGAAATTATAGCAATGACAATAAAGCGCAACAACCGCAGAACTATCGAAACAGTGCACAGAGCACTATGGACAGCTTAGTGGACGCCACGGCCGGCCTCAACCTGCTGGCCACGCAGCGCGCCGTCGAGGACCTGCAGCAGCCGCGCAACTACCCGCCGCTAGAGCAGGTCTATGCCAAGCAGCAACAGGCCGCCTACCTCGCCGCGCAGGCCATGCCCGAGGCACCGCCCTTCCGGCGCGGCAGCGACTTACAGAAGTATCCGGAGCAGTCTTACCAACGTCGCCAGCAACCCAACGGCTACGTGGAATCGCGGCAGAGCGGGATGTACGGTGGCGTGGCGGGTTACATGGGGGGCGCAGCGGCTGGAGGCTTCGCAGGCCGGCAGTACGGGTACGGCGCGCGGCCGCAGGACTACGGCGGCGTGCGTGGCGCACCCTTCCTTGCCAACTCCCTGCTAGGCTTCCAGAACGCCGCCGTCAACGAGCAAGCGCGCGCCATGCTCGGGGTCGCGGACATCAACTGGAAGGTGGGCGACCGCTGCCTTGCTCTCTATTGGGAGGACAATAATGTAAGTATATGCAATTAAGTGTATTAAATTAGCTCTCACCACTATGTCTGAAAATTTATTGTAAATCTACTTTAGAGATAGAACTATAAGTACACAAATTAAAGCAACAATTATTTACTATTTCAGTTCTACGAGGCCGAGATCACGGGTATATCGGCCAAAACTGTAGTTGTCAAGTTCTGTGCCTACGGTAATCACGAGGAGATTCTCAAGACCAATTGCCTACCATTCCCCAATCAAGGTGCGTAGTATTATAGCGGTCGTGTCGCGACATCTCCAGCCGTAGGTTAAACAGGAAGAAAAGAAAACGTGGTATTTTTTATTGAGTCCGTCTTCAGCGTGTGGTTAGCGAGGCCGACGTGGTCTAGCTGTGTCGATAGTCCATTGAGGTGGCGTGGTCCCGCAGGGTCTGCGGCGGAAGGCGCGCAGTTCCTGGCGCAGCGCGGCGTGTTCGCGGCGCGCCGGCCCTAGTGCTGCGCCGCGGCTCTGCCCGCGCCCGCGCCCCCGCGGCCCGCCAGCTGACGCCGCCCCCACTCCACTAGCTGAACGTGCATCCGAACCGACCACTCACACCCACCAACACACCCGACAAATCCGACACGTCCGACACACCCGACACATTAGACACAACAGGCAGCTAAATGGATATTCCGAAGATGTATAATTAGACATTTTTTAATGTTGGAGTTGCAATCGTTGTCGCTGTAATTATTTCATGAGAACGGACTAGTCAATGCGTGTGCGTAATGTGATGTCAAAGAACTTATAAGCAAACAACGTGAATGTAGCAAAACAACACACTAACTTTTATGCCTCTTTCAAAAGTATTTATAGACAGACAATTCTTTTTAAACCATAAACATATCTAATGGCGTTACAAGTATCATTTCGAACAAATACTTTTATTATTTTGATACATCATTACAACAGAACTTCGAATTCCTTTATATGTAAAAGTATTATTTGTATAATATGCAAAACGGTTAATATAAATGTTGAATGGTAATGTTCCTTGACAATGCATTGCAGCTTTACGTGGAGTTAGCCTGTTGATTTGTTAGGATAATACTCAATTAGATGTTGTCCGGTCTCATATCACTTGAAGGTAAATTAAACCGCAGAACAATTCGTATTTAAATGAAGCGGCAAGGTAATAATATCTACAAGTATTTCAACTTCATAGAAACGGCCGAAACGCGAACTATACCTACGCGCCCGATGTCGGGACGCGCTCGGGACGCAGACAGACGCGGCTGTACCGCAGTGACGAATGGACGGTGTGTTGTCTTTTATTTAGAAATCAGCTCGAGTACATTATTTAATATGACGAATAGGAAATATTGTGTTGTTATTATGTTTGGTTGCATGAATTCGTCAATAACGCATCCAGACATAAGTTTTTTTTAAATTACCTGGAAACTCTGAAAGGTAAGACTATAAAATAATTTTACTTAGACAGACATTATGTACCTACCTAGGCTCTAGTAGCCTAGTGTGTCTTTATGGATCATTATTTCCTGTTATCTCACGAAAACAGATGTTTGAATTTATAAATAATATGAATAAAGTTATTGAGACGAGTGAAATAGGTAGTTATAGGCGGTTCTGGTTCTGAATGAATCACGATACGTTAGGTACCTACCTACTTACGCTTGTGTTAAAACGGTTCATGTATGTTTTGTTAGTTTGTATAATTCAAAGTAGAGAGTGTGGTATTTTATTATTAATAATATTTTTTTATTATCTGCGTTTATGAATAATACTAGAAAATATTTAATAACAACAATAAAACAGCTAGACTCATGTAATATTTTGATGTTTGAGGGTTGTGATTTTAGAACATTCGTAGTCAGCTGTTCAGTTCGGCATTAGTGGCCAAAGAAATTTTGCTTGTTTATTTTTAAAGCACTTTATTTGTTTATATAAAAAAAGGATATTTACAATCACAAAACTAAATGGAAACAGAAAGTAGACAAAGGTAATTAAAATACTGGAGACGAGCAGCCCTAACGCATGTTTACGTACCGCGCGGCTGTAGGTATTTATTTCTTTCAAGCGGCCGAGTTAAAATACTGTATGATATTTATACTGTGGAAGCGGTTTCGAATAACGACGTCCATCTATTTATTTTGTTTGCCAGAATTGTCATTTTCGGCTTGCGTCTAGAAAATAAAATAAATATCACATTTTCTGAAAAGACTGACAATACAAAAGTTTTCCACAAAACATCTAAAAGTTAATTACTTGCATAATGTGCGTTTTATTTCGTGTATTCTACACAACGGTAACTATTACATTCGACACGCGATTCGCGCTCCATTAAATGAAATACTTCAGCTACCTGCTACACACACGCCAAAGTGTGAGTTCACCCAACCACGGTACTTGGGTGGCCGGTATGACTCGGTTGGATGTTCAGCTCCATTTCTAGTTTGGGATGAGTGAATGAAGTTGAAATATACTTGCGATCTAAGCGTAGTTACACTCAAGATTCTCTCTGGCAGTCATCATTATAATACCTCCTTACAATGTATGTAATAATAAATAATAAGTACGAGTTAAATGTTCATATTCAATTCCGTATCAAACGCGGAAGTTTGTGAGTTTTCAACTTTCTTCACTTAATGTATGAAAGGGAAATGAAAGGGCTCACACGTTGCTGCGTAGCTTCTTACTTGTACAAAGAAAAGCATGTATTATTTATTATTGCGTTTAAATATTGAAAAAATATTATCTATCAAATTATTTCCATTGATTGTTGTCTTTTTTTGAAATAAGTTGCTGTTTGTTTAGTTGAATTAAATAAAATGCAGATATAATGTATTTTAGATATACCTAAGTAGAAGAAGTAATTCAATCTGTTACAACGTATTAACTGGACGATTAATGTCAGGAATATACAAAATTGTGAGTTAAATTGTAATAATTATGCACATTAAAGAGGATTGGTGGCATGTAGCGCATTTACGACAGAACACTTGTGCCCATACAGATGTGTATCATTTTATTGAGTTTATTGCATTAGCTCTGGTCACTCGTATTTGTTTTGTTTGAACCAAAGGTTCGTAGTGCCAACTTAACGTATTATGGAAGCTCTTCTATATTTTTATTTGTTTTAATCTTAAAATCGATAATCGATAAAAAGTATTAGGAAACTATTAGACCGTGTCTGAAATTATATAACTAATATTTATTTTTAAGTATTTATTTGTGCTACATGTATATTCTAAACTAAGAAGTCTTTATGGTGTTAGTGAATCTCGTTATAAAACGGTAGCTTGTTACCCAGCCTCCTTTCATTGAACAGATTTTTATATTTACGTCAGTTCCTGGAAGGATGCTTGAACAAGTTACAATCACATTGCTTTTAGTTCAGAATTAAGAAGTTCTTGTTTATTTGGAGTAAAATATACATGTTGCACACTTCGTCAATCAATTTATAAGAGAAGCTACGCAGGTCGTTGTGTATCTAGGTCTAATTAAAGCGTTCTTAATGTTTAAATATAGGTAATATAATATTAAAAAAAGATGTAATTCTGATGCGTTAATTTATTGTCAGTCGGTATGTAACCAACAGCAGTAGCGGGTTGCTTGTATAAGTGTATTTTGTTGTAATTTAGCGCAAAACATGTAATATATTATAATTTCAGTTGAAATATTGTTTGAAATGTATTTGTTTTATTTTATATCCGTGTCTAAATAGATATAAATAATTGTACCTACGAATCACCTACCGTTTACTGCTTCGTGTTTATATTAAGATAACAACAAATGAGATGTATCTATAGATTTTTTTTCTATGATGGATTTATAAGCGACACTAATAATAATTCACACTTGCTACTTATTTTAACGAAGTTGTAAACTCATTAGTCATAGCTGTGTCAGCCGGTAGCAGGTGAGAATATATTGTGGGATCAAATAGGATCCGTGAGTTGTCCTGAGGGACCCACGCTGGTACACACTATTAGTTATCGACTTCTATTCGATATCATGTTATATTTCACAAGTTCAAAGCACTGGGTTGTCTATTTATTGCATAGTTTCACAGTCACTATGACCTTCGCGCGATCAGGAAGGAACATTTAGGTCTTATGCCTTAGGTTTTGTTTAGAATTATTCAAAGATTTGTATAAGACGGGTATTTTTGGTCATACATATTATGTATAGTTTTTGTAAGTGTAGATAAATGTTATCTAAATACTCGGCGAAGTGTAACAATGTAGTATTGTCCGCATGGATGCAGTGATGCCTTGTGGTCTGCCTAACTATGTAATCTTGACGAACGGCCTTATGTTCCTATCTTTTAGATGTTTATAACTTAACGTTTAAGTAGAATTAAACAATTTGACGCCACTTTTGTTCGTGAGATGTTTACTTGGTCGCGCGTAGGCCATATTATCTTGAGTTTTTGTTCTAAAACTTATTTACTAAACTGATTGCAATGTCAGAATTTAATAATTTAATGTAAACCAAAGCTCAATGACATCTTATAGTTGTTAGTAGACGCAGGAATGCTCATATTGATGTAAAACCGCGTTGAATACATTTGTACCATCACTTTGTAATTATGTTGAGTTGAGGTGAACGTTTATTAACAAAAAGCTAATAAAAGAAACCGTGACACACTGTTGTTTTATTTTAAAGTATCAGATTATTTCATTGTTTTATCTTCTAACACGCTGTACGTAGGTGCTGGTTGGTAAAGAGTGCTCAAAAGGATGTTGGATCGATACTCTGGTAAAGAGCCAGTCATAGCTCTTTGCCCAGTTGACACTTTAGGCTAGTACCTATTAATTTTTATATGATAGGTCGGCTGATGGTAAGTAATCAGTGCCGCCTATGGACACCTGCAACACCAAAGTTACGAGTGCGTTGCCGGCCGGTTGGGCATAAGGGTCTCGGACATTTAAGGATTGAGAAGAAGGGGAGGGATTGAAATGGCCAATATTCATTGCCCAAACATTTATATGTCGTTGGAAGTATGGAACAAATAAAAAAGAGTTGGGGACTTCAAACGTTAGTATGGAAACCCTCGCGGCGTAGGTTCATACCTCATACTCTTAAGTAAAAACACAACAAAACAATTGGTCATAAATTTGGAACCATTAAAAATAGGACCAAAATCATAGAGGCCACATCATCGAAATACGCTCAGAGCCTTCAATAGGTTAAATCGGCCTTGGTTACGACCAATACATATGGTTTATAAGTATGTGGTGTATGTACCGGTGGCTGACCGGTGGGACAACTATGTGTGGCTCACTAATTATTGTACCTACCGCTTCTGGGTGTGGTTTGTATGTGGAGTTAAGTATAAGTAAACGCACTCAAGTCACAGGAGAAAATAAGCGGCAAAAGAAAAACAAAAAATAAAAATAATTTACAAACTCTTAGGTAAAAGGCGTAAGTTATGTTACATACCTACCTATATTATATTCTAGGCTGTTTTTTTATGAAAATCGATCCTTCGATACTTGTCTAGTCTCTTCGGTTTCAAGAACAAGAAATGTGGACTTAGTTAGCCGAGTCATGAAATAGATATGCAGTTGAAATTGGTTAGAAACTAAAAAGTATTCATGAGACAGCATGAACAAAAAATTAATTTGTTATCAATTGCATGCTTTTTAAGGCAGCTATGGGTTTTTGTAACACATGACCGGCTTCAGCATTTAAGAAACCTAAATATTGATATTCCTCCTCTGTTTTAAAACCGAAATTGTTTGAGGCTCTGGTACCTAGACTATGTAGATTGTGGGTTATTGAAGAAATCCAAAAAGTACCTATCCATGATCTTTAGTTTCATTGGTTATTTGAAAAGACATATCCGTTAACTGGCGGCCACCTTTATAGATATTACCTATATAGGAAAATATTATTTGTGTGCTTTACTTCAGCAGGTGTTCCTAAGGAAAATATTTTTAATCAACAATTATCATGAGGTTCCGATCGTTTATTGTAAATACCTAAGTAAATCGCAGCATTGCACGCAACACACCTGACCTAGTTGCAAACATATAAACACGTTATAGGACCCTTCGAAGGCTGTCCCATTCTTCCTACAAGTTGGTTGGTGGGGCGTCGCCCGCGTGATTCACTCAAACCAGTTAACTTCGTACTACCGGCCACGACGCACTCGCCGTCTTGAATAACAAACAAATTTGTGAATGAACCGTACAAATTAACGTAACTGTAGTGAGAAGTAAGAGTTATGGTAAAGTGAAATTGTTTCGTCTAACGGTTTGAACAAGACGATATCGGAGTTCGTGACTAAATGTAAGTACGTAAACTAAACTCGACGAAGACCGCGACGCGCCAAACAAAATTTTACGTTGATGTTGACATCAATATTTTCAAACTTTTTACAACTGTTTGCACGTTTTCGATGTGTCCTGTGTTATTGTTTTATATGTTCGCTTTAATGGATCGTCGTACAATGCCACTTTCACTTATAAACATCGATAAGAGAATGGATTAGATGGACCTTGCGTTATCCGGGGTATCACCTTGAGTGTTTGCGTCCGAGCGGTTCGCATAGTTCCTCTCTGTAAGTGGTCGTAATACATGCACGCATGACATACATAGCATTACGTGTGTCATTTAAGTAATGACAAACACATACATAACATACTTAGATATTCCGTGGTCAATAACTTAGTTAAAAACTTAAGTATTGTAAGTAACAACTTATTCGAACTTGCCGAATCATTTTTTTTAATTACTTCGTGGTAGATTATTTCACGGATGACTGACAAATTAAACGGATTCTAATTTTTGACTGAAGGCACAGACAACCATATAGCTACTGGAATATCGTAACAAAATACCATTTAAATATGTAGGTAGGTACCTATATCTTGAGGTACTTGTTGGTGTTTAGAGAACATAAGTATACGCCACTCCAATAACATTCACAGGCTCCAAGACTACCTATCTAATAAAGTACTCTGAATCACACAGTTTATTTATAAATATACATATATATCTAAAACAATAACATTAATACATAATAAGCAGGTAGGTAGTTACCTACCTACCTATGAAAACATTCAACATACTTAGGTACTCACTGCCCACATTTATTAGTTTTGTAATTGCTATTTAACATTATGTTACCTACCTTGTAATTTGATCATTATATTTGTAGACATACCCCACATTAAATGCACAAACATTAAATAACAAAACGTCATTCAATACTTAAGTTAGTACCTATCTAATAACAAATACAGTTACAATAAAATGATAAAAACACGGAATAGATTCATCCATTTCAAATTTGGAAGAAAAAAAAAATCAATTTATTGGAGGTAAGAACCTTTTTTGTTCGCCTATTTGTTTATTATCTGTTACGTATATCTCTGCATACTAGATTATTTAATTATCTACCTGAGTATGTATTGCAATGTCGACCATATACTGACATTAATATGGACCGTATACAAGCTTAATTAATTCATATGTAGCAGGTACAATCTTGATTAATTATTACACTTGAGTTTTTATTCTATCATTGCCCATGTATCTACATATACAGTTAGATAAACGACAAGGGTTTTGTAAGTACCTTATAGGTATCATTGTGTTATTCATATTATGTTTTTTTGTTTGGAAGTACGAATATTATTAGATACTTTTAATTTATTATAACAATGTTATGTAACTCAATGAAATAAAAAGCCCCAAAGCCCTCTTTGTAAAAACGATCTAAATCCGTCTTGTAGCTGTTTTTGTATGAAATAAAGAAACAGGTAATATTCCATCCGACCCTTTTATTTAAGTACTTATTTTATTAATTAGACATTCTAATAAGAACTGACTTTTTGATGCACAATTAGATATTTTTCACTCATCTTCTTTCACGCATATTAGCTTTAATAGTTGACCAGTAAATTTGGTTCAAGGATAACATAATTTGAGACGTGCCTTCACACCCACACGAATATTAAGAGAGATCTTATAATAAGCACCAAGAGACGTGCTATCAAATATCGCTATCAATAATCTCTCTCATTAAAACTGGGATCTCTGGTTTCTGTAGGTATTAAATGTTTTAAATTTTCTTAAGGCTTCGGAGTCGGAGTCGTATCTATAGCTTAAAGTTATATTTGATTATTGATCTACACATCAGTTTTTAAATGTAAAGGGAATGGTCGACTCATTGTAAAAACATGGCCATTATTTTCAATCTCTTCCTTAAATTCTAATCTCTTCTGTTAGGTACTTGAGCTTAGCTTGACACATTCCCGCGCATAAAGATAAACGGATCTCTTTATTACGTTTATGAGACTAAGTATATTCAAATCTATATTAAAATAAATATGGTAAACCTACACTATATCTACTCTTGTATTAACTACTAAATCTACATAAAACGCCTTGCTCTTTTCTAAATATTTGTTAGCTTGCTGTGCCCTGTAAATTGTGTCAGTGTAAATTGTGTCAGTGTTATAACATATGTAAATATTTAGGTACTTTTCCACGTTATGTACACTATGGAATGCAACATACCTACAATATGAATATGAATATCTATTACCGCCATCGGCATCTGTGGTTACTGGCAAGGTTATTTCATTGCTAAGGTTAAGACCACATACATATATTAAACTTTTACTCTCATTAAGAGAAACCAAAGCGTGCATGCGAGTACTCACTACTGTCCCACGTACGTGAATGGCTTGCAAACAATTGGATTTGTCGTAATAAACTTTCACTCTTTAGAACAAAGTAAATTTTTTAGAAGGTTTATTAAAAGAAGGTTATAGTAACCTCCTTCTAATAAATTATGTTAGGCTTTTGAAAAAGAAAAGTACAGATTCGTCTGTGCGAGTTTTTTTCTACGACAACGCGTTCGAAATGTTAGCGTTCTGCTCTCTGATTGGTTGGTTAACTTTGAGCAGGCTAATCAGAACGCTGAACGTCATATAAGTGTCGATTGCGCTAACGTAAAGCAAACAGACTGGGTACTGTGAGCAATTAATGTAAACATTATCATCTCATTTACATGATACCCTTTTTTGAGCAATCAATAAATAATTTAATATTAAGTGTGGGAGAGCCAAGCTTTGGCACGAATTGGTCGGCTCGACCGCAGTGATACCACAGCCTTACTGAAAACCAGCGTAAAACAATCTCAGCATTGCGTTTCGCGAAGTTACCGGAGGCCCAATCCTCTCCCATCCCCTAGTTCCCCCAATGGGAGGTCTTTCCCCGATCCTTAAATATCCGAAACCCTAATCCCTAGAAGGCCGGCAATGCACTTTTAAATCCTTTGATTTTGCGGGTGTTCATGGGTCATTATTTGCCCTATCTCATATAAAAAACAAATAAAATTAAAGCATGACACAATACGTGTTGCTTTGACCACGCAAGTCGTTTGTTGCTATAATTGATTGTATGCAATTGGCAAAAAACTTGCATCTTGTGAATAAGGTCCTTCTTTTAGGAGTACCTAGGAGTACCTACTTTCTACTAAACATTGTGTTGAAAGATCTACATAATATTAGAACATAAACCAGTCAATATGTCCGAAGTAAAGAAGAAGTACCTAATGATTGTAAACAGTAGTCTAATTTAATGAATTTTGTTTCCCCAATAAACCTCCAAAAAGGTCGTTATGCACCGGTAACTCCTTTGGTATTGCAGATGTCCATAGGTTCAGCCGGGGTTGCGGGGTAAGCGCAATGAGGCACCGCGACCCTAGCCTAGAGCAGAAGAAGGAACGAGGGGGTTTTTAGTCAGTAAGAGTCACGCTCAAGAGTCAAAATCATCAAATGACTTCTCCCGCCCCACCCTGGGCGGGAGAAGTCATTTGATGATTTTCCCCTGACAAAAAAAGGTGTCCATAGGCGGTTTCGATTGCTTACCATCAGACCATAATCAATAGGTATACTCGTTTGGCCCCTAACACCATACACAACAAAAACTTATCAATCACATTAAATAAGTTTATCTATCATTTTTACAAATTAATGTACCTGTATGTTGCCATTGTGCACGTGGTTTATTTTGGGGTGAAACCTTTTTTTAAATAAGGGGAATAACAAAGTAACCGTCACGCACCGTTTCGTAGGTAAAAACGTAAACATGACATGTGTATTTTAGTTAATGTACGCCAGCAAGACAACCACCTTCTCCATCAGTATATTCGATTTTCAACTTTATCCTAGATGTTTTTTGGGTACAATATATATTACAAAAGCGTCTGGTGTTTAAAAATTAAAAAAACAAGCACGGTGCGTGGGTAACGGTAATAAAACTTCTTATTGGTGTCCTGTGTGCTATTATTAGTAACTACATGAAACGATCTATGTATCAAATGAATTACATCTAAATCTGTTGAGCAGTTTTTGCCCTTGAACTGCGTACGTAAGGGCTTTGCATGTTATAAAATAATTTAAACTATTCCATATACATTTTGATCAAGGCATTAAACAGGACCTCCTTCTTAACTCCTCATCTTTGTTAGAAGCTTCCAAGTAAAACAATGCGGCTAGTCCGCTTGATTGATAGCTTTTTCATCATCATTATCACCAGGTCACCAGCCTGTAAGGTCTCTTCTCACACGGAGAAGGTTTGCGCAGTAATTACCTTCTTTATTTTTATGAAATAGGAGTCAAATGAGCAGACGAATTACATGATGGTAAGTGATCTGCGCCGCCTTGGCGCCGCCCATGGACTCCTGCGGCGCCATAGAAGTCACAGGCGCTTCGCCGGCCTTTCTCAAGTTGCATTAGCGATTTGAAACTTATAATTAGAAAGTTCACGATGTTTTCGTACTTAATTGATAATTCATCTAATATTTTCTATGGTATCAATCCACAGATTCGCGATGGGAATGGGAGGAGCAATGGACAGCTGCGGCAGATGTATGAAATTCTCGCTAATATGCATCAACGTCGTCACTTTTGTAAGTATTAATCAATCAAAAATAATTTATCAAAAAATCAATCTTATACCTAACTATGAATTTGGTTAAAAAGCAATTATTTTTTCGCTAATATGATCTAAAGTTGCTTTATTTAAAGGAGACCCAATCCTTCCATGACTCTCCCACACTTAAATCTATACTAATATTATAAAGAGGTAAAATCTGTAAGTTTGTATGTAGGGGGTAATCTTTGGAATCACTGGTCGGATAGCCAAAATCCTTTCACTGATAGATAGCTACAATGTTCCTGATTGCTATAGGCTATAAAACATCACGCTACGATAAAATGAGCCAGCGGGTGAAACCGCGCAAGAGTAGCTAGTAACCCCCATAAAAGGCTGGCAATGCACTTGTAACTTTGGTATTACGTGTCCATAGGTGGCCCCAAATGCTTACAATCAAGTGATCTGTCTGCTCGTTTGCTATCACATAAAAAAAAACATTGAGGATGGGGGACGGAGGAGGCCTTAAATAAAGAAATAAAAAACATTAACATTTAAATGAGGTAACCTTAGATATTATCTTTGACTAATCCTTTCTACTCCGACTTGATAAAATTTAGCAATATATCAAGCAAAACACATTAGGAGAACAACGGCTATGAAGTAATTTAGATCTTATCTTAACAATAAACGGACGTCCACCTGCAATATGGCCGAAATTACATCAAAAGAGTTCGATATTGAAGGAGGTAAAGATCGAACCATCCAAAGATAGTGATAGTTATGCCCAATTTAAAAATAGAATGGCGTATAAATATAAACAGTATTTTTTTTAATTTTAAATGTAAAAAAACTCTTGTTACGAAATAGACCTATAAAACACGCAAAAAATAAATCGTAGGAACATGACTGCTCCTTTACTTATTTACATAGGTAGGTAACTTTTTACCCGACTACAGCAAAGCAAAAGGAGGGATATGATTATGTTGTTTACTAAGTATGATGACCAGTCAACCAGTATCCATAAACACCTGCATAGGTAATTGTGTGAGAGCCATGCTTCGGCAAATATGTCTCAACTTGGCCAGAGTGATACCACAGCTTCGCAGAAACAACTACAACGTTGTGTTTCGCCATGTGATTGAGGTTACCGGAACCCCAATTCTTCCCCTTCTTTTATCCCTGAATCTCAAAAACCTTTTGTAAATCTCGTTTTAGATACCTAGATAGTAGCTAGTAACAGTGCATCCATTGCCGGTCTTCAATGTCACTGTATGAACGCACGGGTGACCTTTAATCGTGACTTTAGTTGTTGTTTTATGCCACTTACATCAATCAAATACCTTTAACGGATATATTATTGTAGGTACATCACGCAAAGGTAATCAACATTACCAGTTTGATTATTGATACATTCTAGTAAATTTTTATTGCACAAAAATAATTATTAGTTTCTGTACTCGGTGTAATTATAATTTGTTTGTTGAACATCCTTTGTAAAATAGTTTGGAGTAAATTCTTTTAGTTTACATGTTTTTAGAATTGTGTTACAATTACTGGCAGTTTTTTGCTTAAAAATCGTGATGCCATAAAATTTTTACTTTTTTTTTATTTTATTTTTATGTACCTACTCGGCATTTTTGTTAATATTTTTACAAAAATTGGCTAGCCCCTTTTAATATAAATACTCTTTTGTAAATAAATGAATTTGAATCGCAATAAATATACTGGACTAGGGTAATAAGCACGGGGTGACATGGGGTATCTTTGTAGTAGACTATCCCAGATATTACAATTGCAATTTTTTGTTGTATAAAGATAATACATCTAATACTTTACGTTTACATTTCCAGCTTGGTGGTGCAATCGCACTGGCAGTCGGGCTTTGGGTATGGATTTCCCGGTCCTTCTCGAGCACACTGATGAGCAACAACATGTTCATAGCATCAGTTGTGGTAGTGGTGGCCATGGGAGCTGCCCTCATGGTGCTGTCCATCCTCGGCTGCTGCGGTGCCGCTAAGGAGGTCAAATGTATGCTGCTTACGGTGCGTTTGTATTGGTACGGTTCGGAGTAACTGTAGGATATAAGTTTTTTTTTTGTGAGGGGAAAATCATCAAATGACTTCTCCCGCCCAGGGCCGGGCAGGAGGGAGTGTCAGACTCTTGCCCCTGGAGTGGAAGAGGTGGATACATTATTGCGTTTACCCCGCAACCCCGGCTGAATAAGATGATAATTGAGGGAGTTGTTTGTAAAGCCATGCATAGTTAGAATTTAAATTGGTACAATTTTATGGAGAATAGCGTACTTAACTAGAGGATGTTGAGTCATCATTACTATGAAACAGTGATGTGTTAACAAGCTTTGTTATTTTCATAAAACCTCTTTAGTTGCCTTGTTACCGCACACCTTTCTATAACTGGCAATATGATGTCATTATTACTGATACAGCAACGAAGAAGAAATGATACGTATTTTTTTTATTCAACAACGAGAAAAAAAAAACGATCTTGTACCTACATATCGATGCCATCGTACACTTTAGCAATAACGATTAATAAGTTGCCTCATTGTTTGAATGATGGAAATCTTACTACTGGCTGATACAAACGTTTCTTAATTAGGTGATAACTTGCTGCTGCTGAGAATTTTGTAAATTGTAATACCAGTACTGCTTTGCTAAACCAGAAAATATAATCAGATACCCTTTATACGTCAGTCACTAAGCTACTACGACCACAAAAAATTGAAAACGAAATTCTTAAAATTCCAGTATTACATCTTGGTGTTCATAATCTTCGTGGTGATGCTGGTAGGCGGGATCCTGCAGTTCGTCTTCCGGGAGAAGGTGATGACTACGTTAGACCGGGAGCTGTATGCGTCCATACCGTATTATGGAGTCAGGCACGAGTACACCAAGTCCTGGGATGACACGCAGACGTACCTTCAGTGTTGCGGCGTCAAAGGATACAAGGATTGGAACGATAATGTGCCAGAGAGTTGTTGCCGAGAAGTGTATCCAGGAAAGGTGAGGTTATTTTTTTACTTTTATCTTAAAATAACAGTGGGTTCCTTTTCTACTTCTTAGTTTCCATTGTTCTCACGTGAGCTGATTGAGAAAAGCTCGACTAGTTTCAAATTATAACGGGTCTTATTCACGAGCAGTGTGCGCGTCGCGGCTAAGAGTCCCGTTATGACTTGAAACTAGTCGAGCTTTTCTCAGTTAAAATACGTAAGTCGCTATCACTATCACTACATAGTTTAAAACATTGTGATTGAAGAGGAAGGTTTTATGCATGATAGTGGAGAAATTTTCGGGGCGAGCTTTCAATAAATTTTATATGCCTCACGATGTTTACGAAAAAAGAGAAGTAAAATAAGATGGCTTGTGTAAAAAACCTAAGTAACTGTATCAGGATCTAAATAATTAAACAGAACCGATACTAGCAATACGCATCACTGAATTAAGAATTAAGAAGTAAACTTTCTGGACAATACGAGAACTTACGTGTACTAGTAATAAGGTCTACATTTGCTTGCTCCCTGGAACTATAACTCTAGTAAGTTTTTACGAATTTTCAGAGATTGGACTGTAAGGCGTCTCCGAACCCGACTACAATGTATGTGGAAGGATGCCTTTCCAAGGTGACAGACTTCTTGAGAGAAGACGCCGTGTACGTTGGTACTGTCGCTGTCATCATAGCTCTGATAATGGTAAGCCATTTATTTTAGGTATTCTTATTTCTATAAAAACGTTGCCAACACAAGGATTTTCTCCTGTGTGTGCTGTTACAAATATAGGTACAATTTCACATACACATGACACCCAGACCCGGAACAACAATTGGGATCTGCGACACGTTGTATGCCAGCCAGTTGCCCAGCAACCAGGTCGAGAGCCAACCAGGCTTTAATGTTGTGACCTTAAATGCTGATGCAAAAGTGGCTGAATGCCACGGAGTGTCGCAGATTTCATTTTCACAAAGAACAATTAAAGTGTCGAGCAAGGACTCGACCAATTGTTTCTTCATGTGTGTTGTGTTTGTGAAATTATATGTATGCGATTGAACAAAACGCATCCTCGTATAAAAAATGAATTATGGTGAGGCGACGTTTAAAAAAATAGTTCCTAAACAATGATATTATAAGTAAACAGGTGTAGATAGGTCATAAGCGCTCAGTAAGTAATAGTATTTTCATATTTGTCTCTTTTTATTCGCGATTATTGAATCATGACATCCCACTTTCCCGTCTAATCATACGAATTGTTCATGGGTGCATCAGTGTGCCGTTTTTGAAGACCGATTGTTGTTTATGTAACCTACCTACACGATTTTACTTATAATATCATTGTTCCTAAAGGCAAATGGAATACAGGTCCAAGTACATTATATTAAACTTTGATCAGATATAACGTCTTGTCCAAGAGAAATACCAACGCTTTTTTTGTGCAGGTAATGTCGCGATATTATATTTACTAAAACTACAAATAAAAACTCTACTAGTTACAAGTACTAATGGGCCTGTTATTCATAAGCTGTAAGCCACCTATGGAGTTTTTTTTCTGTTAATTTATCCGAGTCTGTCGTTATTTTCAACAAATTAATAGTATTGTACTGACATTGAAAATCTTTAAAATTTGTAACAAAACACAAAATACGAGATTCCTCATCCTTGCTCGACAATCCTTATGCCTATGATCAAAATTCCATTAAAATATATTAGAATAGAATAGAATAGAATAATTATTTATTGTAAAACATGAGTATGCATCAATAAAATATGTGCAAGGTCTTAAAAATAAAAATAAAAATATTATTGATTCTATCATGATAATAGGGATGATGACTAAAAAATAATAATTAGTCCATATTTTAGAACGCCAGAAAATAGTAGATACGTATTTTTTCTTTTGCTTCTAAAACATAAATTATTTCGTAAAAGTTTTACGAAAGAGTGACGTCACGAACCCCATACTCCTGAATTTGAATGTGCTGTATCTTTGTCAATATTATTCGTATGGATAAATAAAAAATACGTATCGAGTATTTTTCTATAATCTAATTGACGGACTAATTAGAACCTTGTTGTTTTAACCCAGGAGACATCCCTATTATATAATTCTGTAATTTTCCTATTTCAGATTCTCGCCCTGATATTATCGTGCGGATTGTTCGTGAAGATAGAATGACGAAAAAAATGACGAGATGCGGTGATGACTTGTTAGGAATCGAGTATTAGTTGTATGATTATGAATGTGTAGCCATTTGTGATTTGATTTGATCGTGTGCCTTCGGACTTTTCTATTTATTTATAAAAAATAATTAAAAACATATTTTTTGCAATAAAAATTTGATTGCAGCTATTCCATGTCTTGTTTTTTTTTGTTTGCTTAACAAGTTTTGTCTGTTTAGCTAAGCAATTTGTTATCTTGAAATCACTATGTAGTATAAAGCAAAGTCGCTTTCTTTGTACCTATGTCCCTATATATGCTTAAAACATGAAAACTACGCAACAGATTAAGATGCAGTTTTTCTTAATAAATAGAGAGTTTATATGTATAAAACATTAATTAAATAGTGGAGGAATTTAGTATTAGCATTGTACCTGTGCGAAGCCGGGGCGGGTCGCTAGTAAAATATAATTACGTCACGTGTAACCTTAGTTCTATATTTTATAATAATTAATTTAACAAAACAAACAGAAAAATAAAAATAAAAAAACAAAGATTTAACTTTTAACATAGCATTATATAATAACATTTAATTTAATTTTATAAAGAGTGATATCATGACTTCAGATTGAATTTATTTAAATTGGTACTAATTTATTTACTATTTCTTGATTATCGATTTACTAAAGATAAATTACCTTAATACCTTTACTTTTAGCATTTTGATTCTCATTTCTTCAATTTACGTCTAGGCGGGAACTTGATGGTATTAGGGCTGCCCTCTCGATAGCGACCGTATTTAGTGTACCAACCACACGACTGTATAATGCAATCCGTGGTGGTTGTGCCTAGAGGCAGCCCTAGCGCGCTGATACGTTCAAGTGTAGGCGCAGGGCCTGCTACAATCTAAAACGTAACATTTTATTTTTAAATTAGAAGCAGTATGCATAAGTCGTTGTGGACTGGAAGTTAAGGCAGAAGTCAAGTCAAGTGCCCACTGTTGAGCAAAGGGCTCTTCTCACACGGAGAAGGTTTTTTTTTTGTGAGGGGAAAATCATCAAATGACTTCTCCCGCCCAGGGCCGGGCAGGAGGGAGTGTCAGACTCTTACTGACTAAAAACCCCCCTGTTCCTTCTCCTGCTCTGTGTCGAGGTCGCGGTGCCTCATTGCGCTTACCCCGCAACCCCGGCACACGGAGAAGGTTAAGCCTCAATCACCACACTTACTCATGGTGGATTAGCGATTTCAAAATTCTAATTAGAAATTATAAGTCCAGATTTCCTCACTATATTGTTCTTCACCGTATGATAGTGGTGTCTAAATAATCTTAGAGAGTACCTACATCATATAAGTTGGAAAAAGTTACATTGGCATGAGAAGCGGGTTCCCCTCCAGGCCACCAAGACGTCACATGTATATCGTATCTAATTCCAAGATAGCATCTAAGTAATGACGAAATGAACTTACCCTACCGAAGACCACGTGTCTTTTATCGAACTGTGGCAGAGGTTTAAATATAATGTTGAATTGACCGGTGGCCTCACCGTCCGGGGTTATCACCATCGATAGTACACCTGTTTTGAATTGGAAAGTTTTAAATGTAGTTAGTTAAACTAACTAAAGCTAGCTTACCTAAAGCTTACTTTTTAAGGCATATCACATTTCGCCAACGTATCGCATAAAATGATCATACAGACGTATACCTACTATGGAATCTAGTAGCAATTCTGACTTTTTAAATAACGGCGATTTAGGGATTGGGTTTGGAATGGGGAAGGAAAGAATTGAGCCTCCGGTAACCTCACACATCGAAAGCGTTGGTTCACGCCGGTTTTCTATAACTTGTCTAATGTAACAGGTTACATGCACGAGTCTATAGCCATACCCAAGAGTACATTTTTTTTCTATATTTTTATGTGAAAGGACGGCAAACGCACATATGGATTACCTGATGGTCAGCAATTAGCGCCGCCCATGCACACCAGAAACGCCAGAAGAGTTACGAATGTGTTGCCTTCTCTTTAGGGATTAGGGATTAGGGTTTCGGGTATGTAAGGGTAGAGGATGGAGGGGGACCGTTAGAATTGGACTCAGAATTAGTATGTGCTACTTCTTGCATTTGACAATGTTGTAAAGTGTAGCTGGTTCAACGAGGCACAAATTTACTATTGTTTAACCATTTACGGTGTGTCGGTTATGATGTTATAGTAAGCAATGATTCGACCTACAATGAAGCATGTCTAAACATTTTTTTAGGGGAAAATCATCAAATTACTTCTCCCGCCTAGGGTGAGGCGAGAGGGAGTGTCAGAATCTTACTGACTAAAACCGTCCTCTGTTCCTTTTCTTACTTTAGGCCGAGGCCGCGGTGCCACATTGCGCTTGCCCTGCAACTGCGGCTGGCTTACCCATAAGCAAACAATCTGGTCTACTCTGGTCCCGATGTGCGTGTGTAGTTTTAGCTATGTGTAATGTAGTTTATAAACGAACCTACAACACAGGTTAATATGCTAGTAAGGGACTAACGTTTTAAAGAATATATCAATTAAATAATAAAGAGTTTTAAGAATATATCAATTACCTGGTACAGTATGGTTCAAATCGAAGTTTTCGAAGTACAGACCAGGTTGGCCAGCGTTTTCTCCTTCAATGTTCGGCGTATATGCACCGAAGCCGTTGTCTTTGGTTACATCTCCGCCGCGGCAGTACAGGTCAGGGACAATTCTAAGTAACAAAATCAATAATGAAGTATACAATACCTTTTTTGTTTTTGTGAGGGGATAATCATCAAATGACTTCTCCCGCCCAGGGTGGGGCGGGAGAGAGACTGTCAGACTCTTACTGACTAAAAACCCCCCTGTTTCTACTCCTGCTCTAGGCCGAGGTCGCGGTGCCTCATTGCGCTTACCCCGCAACCCTGGCTGAACATCAGCCCTATGGGGCCCCGTCTGTGGTGGTCTATTGGCTCCTCGAGGCGCGCGCGGAACGCTACGCGCCGTACACTCGGGTCTGGTTCTGGTCGGGCGGCGAGCTACCCTTACTCGTCGTCCGCAGACCCGCGCTTACGGTGGCCGGAGATCATCTCTCAATCCCAGAGTATACAATACCTTGGTAGTAGGCTTAGTGTATACTAATATTATAAAGAGGTTTTGTAACTTTGTATGTAGGGGTAATCTTTGGAACCGCTCTGGTCGGATTTCTAAAATTCTTTCACTTATAGATAGCATGGGCAGAAGCTAGTTGTAAATAAAGGCATGAATACTTTACGACCTAAAAGGATAGGCGTCGGAAAATGTATTAAATATAAAAATAAGTGTTATACTTAGGTAATCAGGTACGAACCTAAAGAATCTGGTCCCAGTATAAGAATGTCCAGACGAATCTCCTTTGACGAGGTTCAAGAAGAATTGACAAGTTTGTGGCACAATATCGGAGAACAGCTCGATTAAAACCTTACCAATCTTCGAGCCCCCTCGAACCCAAATTTCCATAGATACTCTGAAATGGAAAAAGAAAAAGAAAGTATTTCATTGACTAATGGGTGCAATGCTGTCTGTTGTTAATAGTAACCTTCAGTATTTGTTTTAAAGATTGGTTACACATAACTTTGCACAGGGATGAGTAGAAAAAGGGTGGAAAGACATATGCCCTGTAGTGGTGGTAAATCTATCGTTGCCACGACTGACAATAGTTGTGTCCAACTAACCGATCTAGAAGTCATGTGTTCAGGAGTAGCATGTCCTGTAGCTGATGTAAAGATTATGATTTTTATCTGCTTTGATATCTGTCATCTGCGTGCTCTTGCCTCTTCCACATTCAATTATTCAAGGACAAGGGTCCGTACAGTATCATCGGTAATTCACTGACCACTACACTAATATCGCAAGTAGCACTAGTCCAACCTTGACCAGTTGAGAGACTGGCAGAAGTGATAGATTGACAGCTATACTTTGACTGCTGGAGTACCTACAAGAGGTAATGTTAGTATGACCCTCTAGGAGACACAAAACACGACACAAAAGTAACTTACTTCGGTCGAATAACGTTCAGAGGTTTATCGAATGCTGGATCTTTAATATCACGATCGAGTTTTCCTGTCTTGAAGAGAATAAAGGGCAACCTGCAAATAAGAGTAATGAGACAGGTTGTATAATTACAAACTCTATCTAGTCAACCTTCTACTATCTGGTGCTTGCTCGTTGGATTATTGACTTCATATCTAAATAATGAAGTTGAAAATTGAATAAAGAAATGTGACAGAAAATAATGTGTTGTGTTGCTAGCGTCTGTCAATTTAACAAATGCTTTTGAAGGATATGGAAATACTTACGAGGCTCCTAATATTAATTTGCGTCTTGTATCCTTCCACGCCTTATCCAATTCTTTGGTTAGTAATTGCTCGGATCTCTGAATGTTGATACCATAAATGACATTGTTAAATACAGTGGAGATTCATGTATTTTAATTCATTCACAAGAAATTCAACTAAGTATTGTCAGCTAACAGCTACGTGACAGCAATTTTTTTTTTATGTCATTGGACGGCCGTCGAGCAGTCCTGGTGGTAAGTAATCAGCGCCGCCCATGGAAAACAACAGAGTTATTACGAGTACGTTGCCAAGCTTTTAGGGATTTGGGATTTGGGATTTGGAGATTAAGGATTGGGGGAGGGGAAGTATTGGGCCTCCGGTAACCTCACTCACACGGCGAAATACAACGATGTAGTTGATTCACGCCGGTTTCCTGTGAGGCCCTGGTATAACTCCGGTCAAGCCGAACCATTCGAGCCGAAGCATGGCTCTCCCACACAAAACATAAATTTAATTTTATTTAATTATTATAATTAAACTTACAGCAACGAGCAGCCTGCTGTAGAAATAATAGTTGGCCAACTGTATTTTGTTCAGATCCCGCTGGCGTTGTTTGCAGAGTAGTTTATTGTACTTATTGCTAGGCTCAGGCCTCCAACAGTCCACAAAACCCTAAAAATGGAGGACATGTTTTTGATTTTTTTTTATTAAGAGTCATCACATTATATTTCTTCTTTATCTTTAACCGGTATATGAAGTGACGGCCTAATTTATGCCTTAAAAGTTTTCGTAAACATGAGAAAAATGCTATAAACCGTTATGTCATCTCATGTTTCCAAGTCTTCAGCAATTTCTGTTCCTCCATCCAAATCTACCTACATTTTGGAAAGAGCACCTGGCTGACGCTGACGGCCAGACCGTCGGGCAATTAAACTTTGTATAGTATTATTTGAAATAAATGTTTTTATTTTGAAGTTCCTTTAACATTGTAGGTAAGTAAGTACCTTAAGATGGGGTTGTAAACAAAAAAGCAAATTACACCACGCCTAATCACTCATGATTTTAAACTAGTATCAGAACTATTATTTGTCCATCATCATCATCTTACTCCAGTTCGCTGTATAAGATTAATCTTCTTAAGTAGTTCTTTATTGACATTCATAGTATGTTCCAGTTGCCGAGCGTAAAAGTCCAGTCTTCGAGGCTTCAGATACAATTCTGGGAACAGTTCCGGAGGACTATCGTCCACTTTAGCCTTGGACATTTGTAACTGCATCAAATAACAATAAATGTGAATAAAAATAGTAAATTTTAGATACAAAGAATATCCAGTTTTGAACATTATACCTCTTTTTGATGATTAACCCAGCAGGCATAAAAATCCTTCGATAACAGTGGAAATCTTGGAGGCTAAAATGTAATGCACAGGTAATTGAGTTCTCAAATGAACGATTTATGAAAATTTAGAAAGAGATGATATAAGGAGTGAAAAGGAGATAACGTTACCAGTTTGAATTCGCGTGGCTTTCTTACGCGTGGTATGCGTGGTTTCTCGGGTTCGGGTGGTGGAGTGCGTAGAAGCGGGTGTTCCAGTAGTTCGTCGCATTTTCTTTCACGTAATGGATGCATTGCTTAGGTGGTGACCGCCACTGGCCTGAAGTTACCAGAAGTTCTTTAACGTAGTATAAAAAAGGAACTACGGATAAGAAGGAAAATCATATGATAGAGTACCTACTGGAGGTCTGTGCAGGGGCAAGACTAGGTATTCTACTTAGATAACCTAGTGCTTCCTTACAGGTACTGAAGGTCAATCTTAAGAAAGGTAAGTACAAGGTAGGAGCTACATACCCACAGAGTGCCATTATCAAAGATAAATGAGGAATTAAAGTTTACCTTGATTTAGGAGTTTGGACCCGTCCGTTAAATATTTAGCTGATTTTCTAAATACAACATACATTCATTTCATTAGGTTTATCACGTTCTTCATCATACTTCACTTTTATAATTTGTTTTCCTACAAACACTTTCGAATGTCATACGTCAGATCAGATAGAAGATGTCATAGGTAAGTTGCTTTTAATATTTCATGTTCTTTTATTTTTTGGTATAGTTTGGTATTGACTGATGTTTATGGCGCCGTGTATTTGAAGGTTCAATCACACTTGCTTAATACTTACATAATAATATATTACGTATTTGAACGTTACCAAGTCTATTAGTCATGGCGTCATGATAAAAGACAGAGTCAATTCAAAAGCCTGCGGCTAAGTGGAGATTGAATCAGGGCGGTGCTGTTGACTCGTGTACGTTATAGTGGCAACGGCACCAGGCCCTTGCAGTATGTAGCTTGTGATATACTTCCAGCGCATCGCACAACGACCACAAGATGAATGTAACCACTTCGTGGACATAACTAGGTAGTTTTCCCAGTCAAAATTAAATTGACTTTTTTATTTTCGACAAATACGCATGTAGCGACATCTATCGCACAATATGCAGCAACAGCACAATCACGTGCAAGATCCTACATCATCACAAGTATAAAATTCCGACAACAACCGTTGGGCGGTAGCCCGCCAGGCACGATCACCTTGCCTGGTCGGAGGATCCTTCTTTTCCGATATTAGAGAACTTTACTCTCTGTTCCCTAAACGCACACCTTTATAAGTTGATTTTACAGTAAAATTATTATTCTTATTTTTTCTAGAATCATTTGATGTAATTAAGTGACATCACAACATACGTCGTATTTGACTCTCGTCTTACAAGCGTCAACAAAGTAGGACCAATCACATGTCCCTGAGGTACACTTGCATTAAAATTTCAAAGGCAACACATAGTTCGCAAAATTATTATTTAGTTAAAAATTAAAAACAACATTTTGTAGCATTTTATTTATTCAAAATAACCTGCATCGTTGGAAAAAAGTATTTTGTAAATGTACAACACTTGAAAAGGACACACTAGTGTCTTGAAAAGGGTTAAAAAGGATCTGTTGTGGCAACCGTATCACAGCCTTGTATCCACACAGCTTTACTTATAATATCATAAGAGCAGTGGCCATTTTGCCACAATTTATAAGAAATTGTTACCAGATTCGTTTGGGGATTAAAAAACACATTTGGAGTTGATATTAAGTTATCAACTTTAACCTCCACGTAGGTTACAACGTTGCATGGTGGTACCTAAAAAAATTATAACCTTTTTATTAAATAAATTAAACGTAAAATTATTAAAAAAAATAACAGCGAAGGCGGCTTTTAACGATTAAGAGCCACCATCGAATTACCACATATTCTTTCAAAAATAATGGAACCTTTCCAACCGTAACTTGGTATGAAAAATGTACTTAACTAAGCAATTTAGGGTATAAGTACAAAGTTTTATTAAAATCGGTCTAGCAGTTTCTAAGGTTTTGGACTTGAAACTTTGTAAGAAAACCCGAATCGCGAAAATGCTTTTAAATATAAAAAAAAAATGAAATGTTTTAACTACTAAGACTTACTGATATGGCTATTTGTTTATTCCGTTCAAAAAATCCCATAGTGCCATGCTCGTGACTGAGTAATGAACTTCCAGGGGCATTGATTTCTCCGAATTTCCAAATTTCACCATGTACAATATGTACTAGGGATAGGAAGGCACTAAGTATGACAGACTTATTGTATCCCATCGCACTACCGTCAACTGCCGATGTCCACCAGCAAATAATCAAAGTTTAGTAATCTTTATTAACTGTGTAACAATCATTTTGTTACGAATATTGCTTTCATGTTTACAAAATATTGCTAATGTTTTGTGTGATGAATATTTGGATGTATTAGATTCTGAGAAACGATAACAAAAATTGATTTGTGTATTTTTGGCTAGAATTTGTTATGGTAGTGTAGTGGGCTAGTGATGTAGCTGCACCTCTACCAAAGTTTACTATCGATAATCATTATCGCTTTAGAAACGAAACAAACGTTTTATGTAAATTAATTTGTACACCACGTGACTTGTTTTCAGAAATTTATATAAATTTCTATTAAATTTATTTATAACCTTACAATCATGACAATTCGAGACACAACAGGTGCGTGTTCGATTGGGGTTTGTTAAATTAATGCGATAACGATTATCGATACTGCACTCGGGTAAGGGGGTTGATCATCAATCGTTACGTGGTTACATTTATAACTGTTTTATATCGATTTAGTCGTAATAAGAGATTCAGCTTTTTTGTTGAAGATTGATTTATTTATATTTATTTTTGTCGTATCGTAACACAGGTACACAGCGACTGAAAATATTTATCTCTTGCTATCTGATAGATATTACCTACATTCGTTATAAAAAAAAGGTCCAATACTCAAATTGGTTATCAATAAAATAAAAATATCTACTGTAATGACACGACATGAAACAGAGATTTTATAAAAAAAAGTAACCTTAAGGACAATAGACACACCCGAGCTCACCAGCCCAGCTGACGGCGCCCGTTCACGAACATGCCACGTACACCAGCATCGCCCAACTCAACCTATATATTATAGGTAATTGAGTGACCCGTGCCACCGCCAGAGTGACTTTTGAGTGAGCATGACAACTCCAAGGTGATATAAAGCAAGCAAGCATTCAAGAGATTCTGCTAGTCTAACCAATTGTAATAGGTTACAGGGCACTCACATTTACAAATTTATCAAGTTATAGTCAAACAATATAATGCAATTTCACTAAATTTGAGAAGTCCCGTTCAATCAAAATCGACTGGAACATTATTTATTTTGGTGTAGGTTTTGCTTTAAGGACTTGGCCGGGAAGTTAAGGTTTCGAAATCAAGCAATGTGACTTTTTCCGTTATTTCAATTACACTTATACAGTAGGGGCAGTCGGCGCGTAGCGTTCCGCGCGCGCCTCAAAGAGCCAATAGAGCACCACAGACGGGGCCCTATAGGGCTGATCTTCAGCCGGGGTTGCCTGGTAAGTGCAATGAGGCACCGAGGCCTCGGCCCAGACCAGGAGAAGGAACAGGGGGGTTTTTAGTCAGTAAGAGTCTGACACTCCCTCCCGCCCGGCCCTGAGCGGGAGAAGTCATTTGATGATTTTCCCCTCACAAAAAAAAAGGGGCAGTATATATCTTGTCTCTCCATTTCTCCTATTATCACGATCTTTTCAAATTTAATACTTACCAACTACATATGTCGCTCGATCTAATCTTTCTCAATATCTCATTAAGAAATTAGGAGAAAATTGTATTACGAAAATGAACTAATAACAATTAAAAGAAAAAAAAACACATATTATTGTCAACTGAAATTTATTAGAGATATGGCATGTCCTCAATATTGTTGATGTAAAGCCTTATCTGCCCTGTGGAACTTGCTGGGGTTGTTGTTGCTGTAGTTGTTGTTGTTGCTGTAGTTGTTGTTGTTGCTGTAGTTGTTGTTGCTGTAGTTGTTGTTGTTGCTGCTGTAGTAGTTGTTGTTGCTGTAGTTGTTGTTGCTGTAGTGGTTGTTGTTGCTGTAATAGTTGTTGTTGCTGTTGTTGTTGCAGCTGTTGTTGTTGCAGTTGCTGTTGTTGCAGTTGCTGTTGTTGCTGTTGCTGCTGCTGCTGTTGTTGTAGTTGTTGTTGTAGTAGTTGTTGTTGTTGAACAAAGCAATCATCTTGCACCAATGCCTTCGCAATAATCGAGAAAGTTGATGGACTTAATTGGAATAAGGAGTAACTTATCGTCACCACATTGGTTTGCGAGTTAAGTTGTACCGTCGGACTGGATATGCGGTTGTTCACTTCCACGTTCACGTATGTTAGAATAAAGCATTGGGGTATCTGTAACATAATTATGATTTTGTTAATACTTAGGTTTAAAGAACTTTATTTCTCATAAGAACAATGGCACTTAATCGATAATTTCCTTCAGATTTAATTTTTTTATGTGATATGACGTCAAACGAGCAAGCCAATTACCTGATGGTAAGCAATGAGCGCCGCCCATGGACACCCGCATCTACGAAAGAGTTACGATTGCGATGCCGACCTTTTGGAGATTTTGGTTTGGTGATTAAGAGATTGGGGAGTGATAAGGCGAGGGGAACGATTGGACCTCCGGTTACCTCATTCACAGGGCGAAATAAAACGCTTCGGTCGAGTCGACCTATTCGTGCCGAAGCATGACTCTCCCACACTCAAATTTCTATCGAGTGTGCTTTTTGTGGAACATAACAAGCAAGTTAATGGATATACTGGTAAGCAAATTATGCTGTCATGGATAAGGACAGTCCTTCTATGAAAAAGGACGTCGATCGACGGAAGGATGGTCTTTTCTTGAATGTCCTAAGTATTGTATAGCTTGACAGACATGATTACTAATAAACGCTGGCGTTTGTTTGGATTTCGACGAATAAAACGCGGTTTTATTGAGTCGACCTTTAACGAACGTGAAAATAAAATATGAGAATGGAATTTCAAACTTTTAATATTATGGAAACTTGCCAATCAGTGCAATCGATCTGGTCTAATGAATGAATTGTAAATAAAGTGATGGATCTCTGGACTGCTTTATAATATTTTTTTCGTTCAGAACATTTTTACCTGTCATTGTGGTTAAAGTTGAGGTGAATTCAAATTGCATCACAAAAAAACGAAAACAACTTATGATTACTACTATCTAACCCAGCAATCTTCTTCCGGCCTCAAATTTAACAATTTTTTTTTATTAAGTCATATTTTTCCTTGACCGTTTTGTTACAATAACTAGTTTCTGAACGCAACCATTTTTAGTTCCTTTTTCCACCACTAGTGCTGCTCTCTCTTTTTGAATATTGTTAATGTTAAACTGTCGTACTAAATAAATAACTCCTAATGAAAACAAGAAATATTTGAAGCAAAATGTTAAAATATTTCCTTTAATAAAATAAAATATTTCCATAAAATATTATCTCGCCAAAGTCTAACACTTTTACAAAAACCTTCCCTGTGTATCCAGGAATATTTAAAGACCACAATAAGCCTTGTCGATCCAGCTTTTCTCGAGTTTTAGCAAGACTAAGAAACAACAATCCATTTTTATGTATACCTAAGAAGAAGAATAATAATAAACGTGTAGAACAATTATTATACTCACAATTAGTTGTATTTTTTGCTCTTTTTCAAATAACGAGAATCTGCCTTTGTATGAAGCGACTACGATGGCTGCTGGTTTATCGTCAGCTCCAAACTCCCATACCCTAGCATGCACTGCATGGACAGCCAAAATGGCGATACAAAACAATAATACTTTCGAACCCATAGCAAAGTACCACGAAGGGAATAAATATATGCCAAACTATCCAGTCTTTATTTTTATAATAACAGGCTCATACCATATTTATAAATAACATCAGTGTATCCAATTACACATTCACAATTTATTTCTATTAAAACTAAGTGAAATTGATTCGTTCGATCGCAACCTTTTATTAAAAAACTATGTTATTTTAAAATTAATAAAATGTATTTATTTAACACTTTAATGTTGGTAATGTATTTTATTGTAATACAATAACGTTTTATTTTATTTCTTTGTCGAAACAAATATTTTTTGTATGTGTACCTATTCACCGGGTAGGTAGGTGTTTTGAGAGGTTTTTTTTTTTTATAAAAGGTTTTATCTAAGGCAAAGGGCATAATGTTATAATATATAATAGCCTTTGAAAGTAAAGATTTAAGCGTATTTTCATAAAAACGTTCTTCCTGACTAAACCACCACCGTTCTCATCCTGCTCCGGCCGGAGACTGAACATCGGTCCTATTGGATCCCTTTTGTAGAACGGTTCTCTGAGGCGCGAGACCAGAAAATAAGTTTCATCCGTGTTTAAGAGAGTCATTATCATCAGCCTATAAGTGCCCACTTCTGAACAAAGGCCTCTTCTCACAGTTCGAGCATTCATCACCACGCTTACTCATTGCGGGTTGGCGATTTCAAACTTATCATTAGAAATTGTAGGTCCAGGTTTCCTCACGATGTTTACCTTCACTGTATGTCAGTGGTGTCTAAATAATCATAGAAAGTACATATAACTCGGAAAAAAGTCACATTGGTACTTGCCAGGTTTCGAACTCACACCTTCATGCATGAGAAGCGGGCTCCTTAACCTCCGGGCCACCATAACAATAATACGTTTAAGAGAGTAGGAATAAATAATTAAATAACTAACTAGTTCCTTCCCTTGCTCTGAGTTGGACTACATTTATTCATTGCGCCTGTAGCTTATTTCGTTTGGCAAATGTAGGCATACAAGTCGTTCATAGGATTCTCTAATAAATGTTATAACAAAATTCTAGGTGAAATATAACAATTGCGAGTACCTATATGGTTAAGTAGGGCGGTGCTGGTGTACGTGTCATGTTTATGAACGGGTGCCGTCAATTGGAAGATCAGCTTCACACTGTCTTAATATATTGTTCTTAAGGTTATTTTCCTTTTCCTTTATTGACTGTGTACAAGTAGTGTTACTGTGTGTTCTCACATAATTGAACCAACTTAATAATGTAACACAAAATTTGTTTGGGAGACTGATTGAAAAAGAGTAACCATGGAATTTATTGCTCTTTCTTCTCTATCGGGATCTACCCTTTGGAACGAACACGTTGCTTCACTAATAGGACTGACCGATAAATGGACAGTTTGTATCTTTAAGCTTTGTTTGGCTCTGCGCGGGTCTGCGGTCGGCGAGTAAGTGCAGCTCGCCGCCCGACCAGAACCAGGCCCAAGCGTACGGCGCGTTCCGCGCGCGCCTCAAATAGCCATTAGACCACCACAGACGGGGCCCTATAGGGCTGATGTTCAGCCGCGGTTGCGGGGTAAGCGCAATAAGGTACCGCGACCTCGGTCCAGAGCAGGAGAAGGAACAGGGAAGTTTTTAGTCAGTAAGAGTCTTACACTCCCTCCCGCCCGGCCCTGGGCGGGGAGAAGTCATTTGATAATTTTCCCCTCACAAAAAAAAGTTTTGTTTGAGTTTCAAAAGTGCCTGTAAGTTTATGTAGGTAACGATCATGCTGAAAAGAGTGTTATGACAAAGAAGTAATTATGGAATTTTTAAATATCAGATTGTTTCCAGCCAAGCCTGAGTGCTAATGATTATTCTGTACTGTAAAAAATATATTCAATTCCGCAATGAATCTCATTAGTGTTGGTAATTTGAAGTAATTTTCTGTAGGTACATACTGTTTAGCTATTAAGCAATTTGTCACAGTAATTGAAATTTATTCAATAATTATACGCCTAAACTAACGACGTCGTTGTTGATTTATTTTAATTTGCTGATTAGCTTATGTTTTGTACCTAAGGCACTTGCTTAGAGAACTTGGTCACGGGGCTTGATTCGTCACAGTAACTAATATACAATTATTCCATTCGGATCTATGTCCTAACGCATTTTCAATTTATATTTTACAACATGAGAATATTCTGGAATTATTATTGGTCTTGTGTGGATTGTATTTTATATAATTTAAAAAAAAAAAACTAAACCTCGGTTGGAACTATCATGTGCATGTCGACGTAAAGCCAATATGTGATATAAGGGTAAGCACACACGAGTGGTTCGCATTGGGAGCGAAAAAACCAACACCACCCGCACTGAATACTGAGAATGTTACTAATTTAACTCGTGACTTGTATCGAAGGGAGACCTATGATTGTAGCGGGGATTTGGATATGGCATTAGTACCTATAAAAGTGTACTGTTAATACCGCATTCGTATTTTTATTAAGTGTAGTTTGTTGTATCTTTAACTAGATCCTATATTTAAATGCAACGTTCTGCTGTGATCTGTATGCATGATGTAAGCGATAGGTAGATACATATTTTTCAACGAATTTAGTATTTGGTCACTTTTTTTTTAATTATGATTGGTGCGCAAACGAGCAGGCCGATTATCTGATGGTAAGCATTTGACGCTTCATATGAACACCCGTAACACAATTACGAATGCGTTGTCGGCCTTTTTGGGATAAGGATTTTGGAGATTAAGGCATTAGGGAGGGATGTGGGTAGTAGAAGAATTGGGTCTTCGGTAAACTCACTCACACCGCGAAACACAACGCTGTAATAATTTCACGCCGGTTATCTGTTAGGCCGTGGTATTATTTAGGCCGTGCCGAATCGCTGACGAGTATAAAAGTTCTCTTAAAGAAATAGATAAAATTGGCCAGTTATATACATTATATGGCATTGTTGAATCTGTTGATGGTACTAAATTATTAGTACCATCAACAGATTCAACAATGCATGCATGCATCAAATAAAAACTCATTAGAATAAAATCCCATCCCAGAGTTATTTCACCTGATTATGTATTGACATATACAGTACTAGCTTTTGCCCTCGACTTTGTTCGCGTGGTATGTTTGTAACCGCACCCACGACACAGAAGAAAATCCTAGTGAGTTTTGTTGTTCCACAAAAAAAATATTGGTGAAGAAAATAAATACAAAAATATTATACAACTTCTTTTGTATTCAGTTTTAAAATAACACATCCGAAGTTAGTAAGTGAATGTAATTGATGCACGTATGGTCAGTAAACGGCGTGTGTTTGCTCCGGGGCTGGCTTTTTGTCCGTCCGTGCGTCTCACGGCATCTACCCACTGTTTAGACCAAAGAACGAAACAATGTCAATATTCTTAGCAGGGGAACTACTCTATGTATTCGGGTTATTTAGGTGAAGTTACTGTAGAATTGAAGGTGTAAATATACCAAGAGAATAAGAATAATAGAAACTATTTTTCTTGTAAGATATTGATAAGATAACTCTACGCGAAGACTATTCTTCTATGATTGATTTAGATTTGAAAAAATTGATTTCTTCGTTCTTCGATTTTTAATTAAACATGTATACAATCAGATCAATCGGTTGAAGATACATGCTTCAAAATTTTGTTTTAGTATTTCACTTCTAAGTGCTATGTATCGCATTATATTATAGTATATTATAATTAGTTTTGTATCGCAACCCCGGCCTGGAGCAGGAGAAGTAACAAGGTGGTTTTGAGTCAGTAAGAGTCTTCACCTCATCCTACCCAGGACGACATAAGTCATTCAATGATTTTCCCCTATCAAAAAACGAAAGGATTTCGAACATACATATAACATTGTAATTTTAATTAAAATAAAAATAGGTAAAAAAACTTTTTAAGTTAAACGGTTTTATGTTAAACATACATTGCAATGTTTAAGATAAATGTACTAAACACCAAAAAATAATAAAATAGATACAGTCGTGGGAATTATAAACATATGCATAGACTAGACTAAAATAAAACCGTGGGGCACGTCAATTGTCTACAATCGTTATTAAAATGTTTGTTTTGTAATGTACAATAGATAATTAGGCAGTTGTTCAACTGTCAACGATGGACTTGTTATAAGTAGCGCTAGAATGTGGAAACGAGTTTTAGGGTTTCATAGTCGTGAGTGAGTAGTACGTTTATTATATTTACATGGAGTGTATAACTATTGGAATTTCCATGAGCAAGAAAATAGTAAGTAAATTCCTCACCGTCTGCGGGTCAACTACCTAACGACGAATTAAAGCGCGATTTGTAGACAATTGACGTGCCCCACGGTTTTATTTTAGTCTAGTCTATGCATATGTTTATAATTCCCACGACTGTATCTATTTTATTATTTTTTGGTGTTTAGTACATTTATCTTAAACATTGCAATGTATGTTTAACATAAAACCGTTTAACTTAAAAAGTTTTTTTACCTATTTTTATTTTCTAGTTTTTAGTTTTTATTTCGCATTCTGTTTAATTCATTTCATACTTCATTATTGCAAGGTTTCTTGCCCGTTAATGTATTGCAGTCCAACTCCTCTATACGTAGTCCCTGCAAAGATCTTACTCCACTAAGAGCCACCTGATTGTTCCCGTCGTTTCTGTAATCGACTATTTATATCACCTTCACTCTGCAAGGATTCCCAACTTTTTTGCAGCTAGTTGAGGTTTTGCTTCGATGTATGGCCCAAAATTGTTAAAAGTCAGCGTTATACCAAGAAGATCAAGATGGTCAGTTATCGGCACGGATACACCCCGGAAAGTTGGAGCAGGACTAAATTGACTCCTTTTAGCAGAAAATAGACAAGCTTGAGTTTTAGCTGCATTGAACCTGACCATGTTGGCATCGCCCCATTCAGAGACAGCCTCCAAGGACAAGTTCAAGTGCCCAACCATAGCCTCTCGAAGAGACTGGATCTGTGACCCACTGGCTTGTGCGCCGGATGTGTAGCTCTCAGCAACAGTGCTGTCGTCTGCATACCAAAAAGACCGGGCTTAAGCAGGACATGTATGTGCAACAAAAACAATGTTGCGGAGAGCACTGACCCCTGAGGGACCCCAGCATTGATGGTCATTTGACTCGACGAACAACCATTGATGACCACACGGATGGACCAATCCCTCAGAAAGTTTGCGATCCAAACACACAATCCAGTAGGTAAACCGAATGACGGAATCTTACTAATAAGGCTTTCGTGCCATATCCTATCGAAAGCCTTCGAGATGTCAAGGGAGACGGCAAGCGCTTCCCCGTGTTTCTCGATGGCCTCGCTCCAGATGTGGATGGCATACGCTAGAGGATCACCTCTCATCACTCGTATTGTCGGTCACTTAAGATGTCATTGGCTCCCACGTTGGCTTGCACGTTCCATTGTCTTACAGAGAATGGACGTTACTAAGATTTGTGTTTGTATTTTTTTCATTTTTTTTACCAGTTTGTTGCCATGAGTAATGGATATTAAAATTGTCTACCCCAGAAGTCCAATAAAGGGGCAAGGCTATGTACAACAAGATGTGCCTGAGTCTTGAGGGGAAAACGGTAACGACATATCATTTTTATCCACCCTAATGCCATACAGTTCTCAGCGCGTTTTAACTTTTAACTTGGGTGGTATACCGCTAACGACGTATCATTTTTAGCCACCCTAACGCCACACAGTCCTCAACACGATACAAAGTCTTGAGACGTGGGTGGTGGATTCAGGCTGGATTAATCAGATACCTTTTTTTATGTGATAGGACGGCAAACGAGCATACGGATTACCTGATGGTAAGCAATCAGCGTCGCCCATGGACACCCGCAACAAAGAAGGAGTTACAGATGCGTTGCCGACCTTTTAGGGATTGGGAAGGGATTGGGCCTCCGGTAACCTCACTCACACGGCGAAACACAACGTTGTGGTTGTTTCACGCCGGTTTTCTGTGAGGCCGTGGTATAACTCCGGTCGAGCCGACCCATCCGTGCCGAAGCATGGCTCTCCCAAACTTAAATATAAATAAATTATACCAAAATTACAGATTCAATTTCTAATTTTAAATCTTATTATTATACGCCATTTAGTGGCTGCGCCCATCTTAAATATTGAGGTTGTATAGTGCACTGTATTCTTCTTGTCAAGCCCTTTTATTTGATACCCATATTTATGGGATTGATAAAAAATTGTTATCAGCCATTTGGTAGCGGCAGCCATCTTAGATTTCAATTTTGCATAGTAAATTGTATTCGCATTGTTGAGCCCTTTCATTTGATACCCATATTGATTAGATTGATAAAACCCACGTTATCCGCCATTTTATAGCGGCCGCCATCTTGGATTTTAATTTTTTATAGTGCATTTTATTCTACTTGTTGAGCACTTTCATTTGATACCCATATTGATGGGATTGATAAAACCTACGTTATCCGCCATTTTGTAGCGGCCGCCATCTTGGATTTAAATTGTTTATAGTAGCTATATTGTATTCTGCTCGTTGAGCCCTTTCATTTGATACTCATATTGATGGGATTGATAAAACCCACGTTACCCGCCATTTTGTAGCGGCCGCCATCTTGGATTTTAATTTTTTATAGTACATTGTATTCTACTCGTTGAGCACTTTCATTTGATACCCATATTGATGGGATTGATAAAACCTGCGTTATCCGCCATTTTGTAGCGGCCGCCATCTTGGATTTAAATTGTTTATAGTAGCTATATTGTATTCTGCTCGTTGAGCTCTTTCATTTGATACCCATATTGATGGGATTGATAAAACCTACGTTATCCGCCATTTTGTAGCGGCCGCCATTTTGGATTTATAATTGTTATGATTACACATAATTGTATTGTCACCAAAAACAAAAGTGTATACAAAATTTCAGATTAATCGGTTGACAGGAAGAGGGTGAAATTTGAATTACTAAATTTGGTAATTACTTACTATTTATTACGTTACCAGCTTCTGAATCATATTTACAGAATTATACAGGAATACAACAAGGTAGGGGCATCGTTGCGGAATGTCTGCCGCGCGACGTCTATGTTGCACGCGTCAAGAATCGCGCGACAATGAAATTGTCCCGTCGAGTTCGCTGTTCTAGCAATGTGTGAGTAATTGTGCAAGATCATTACTGTGCCTGAGATTGTTCTAGTTTGAAACAGCTTCCATTTAAATGTACACACAAGTTAGTTTAAAATGGACTTTGTTTATTATAAGAGAAAATAAAATTGGATTGTATTACCCTCGTCCTTTTACTTAACATTCATTTAGGTATCTTAGTTAAAACCCATATGTCGTATTAGAATGTACATCATAATTTATTTCGTCGGCAATCCATTAACCGGTACTTGAGGTAAATTATTTGGAACGTTACAATTTAATATATTTGAAGCTGTAGGTACGGTGCCGTGGTGCAAGTGCGCGGCTTGTCATTGTTCCCACACGGGCTCATCAAGTATGCGCCTCTGAATTTTGAGCGGCGTATTCAAACATGTCCCTGTAAGCCTCTACAATACGTATTTTATTGACGCTTCACACGATATTCCAGTAATAAATCATTTACGCACCTATATTTTGAAATGTTCTAAATTAACAAATTAAAATGTCTTTGCTTTCCAGTTCGAATAATTCTGGCCAATAAATTATCTGTTCGAAATTTGTATGAACGGTAATTAGCATCGGTATCAAATAAATTATAATCCTTAATAAATTAAAATGAACTGCGAGTAAATTAGGCGTAACATTTTTAGAAAACTGAAACTGAATGCGTCGCACAAAAACATTGCAACTTCAAATCAAAACGTATCGAAAAACTTAGTACCTACTAAGATTTCCTGACTTTTCCATTTACGAGAACGACTAGAATCGTATTTTAAAATATAATACGCTTTTATTTTGGAAAATTCCGCGAGTGGCTCTGGGGAGGGAAAGCTAATTTCAATTTCATTTAGTTCTGGCGCCATTCCATGTGCCGACCAGAGACTAGAGACTATGGTACCACGGCCAGACCGGATTTTTACTCGCCCGCAACTAACTTGGGCAAGTAACTTGCCCAATTGCTTTTATTATTTTATCCTATTCCATTATTATCATGTATGGCCGAAATTTTTTTTAAATGGAATCTTGCTTGCTATTAATGTTTGTTAAATTTATAGAAAAAGTAACGACTTACTCACTTGAAATAACTGGGCAAAGAAGCGCTCTGCTCGTGAATAAGAGTCCCGTTGTGGCTTGAAACTAGTAGAGCTTTTCTCACTTTAATTTCAATAAAAAAGTAGGTACATATATTAACTACATATACAATTTTTCTATTGAATATTTTTAACATTTATTATCAAAAGTTATTATAATATATTACTTCAACAAAGCAACAGAATATCAAAGGGCATAAAACTTTTTTATAGTACTACTATGGTCTATATTGAAAATTTAATTTTCTAGTAAGTACATACATTGCAGTAGCAACAAAATATTCAATACAAGTGCACTTTACGTATCTAATCTATGGTGGCGAGCGCAGCTAGACGCGGAACCCTCGGGGACGTTTGGGTTCCGTAGGCAGATTACACCCCGTCTGAGCCCCAATACGCAATTTCATTGCAGAAGGATTTCGCATTTTTATCGGCGAATCTATCCGGTGTCTTTACTATTAGAGTGCCCTCGCTTGAGAATGTTTAAAGGTCTTTATTGATAGTTAATGTAAGGGGTTCTGCTTGTACTGTATTATCAAAATCCGATGCTCTTCTGTTTGTTTGTGGGACGCAGTTTATTTATTTGTATAAAGGATCCGGGTTGAGTACTCAGAACAAAGAAGAGCGAAGGAGACATGGGTTGTTTAGTTACCTATGAACAGGTAATTTAGTTCTGAATCTACAACCTTTTCAAAGTAAAACTATGTAGACAGCTCAATCATAGAATAAAAGTTTTCAAACTGCCATACCGTTATAATAACAACGAAACGAAAAACTGCTAATGGGAGTCCCATCTCATGAAAACAAGTCACTGATAAATAAAATTTATTTTTGTTTCAAACCGAAAGTATGAAGGAAAGTAATAAAAGGATGGCAAATAAAGGGCATAAATTACTTTAAACTAATGTTCTAACTTTGTTCGCGGTTCGTCAGAGTGACGTTGGATCCGGGGACAATTTAAACCGTGCTACATTCCGTGCCAAGATATCAAACCTCCCTTACGGTGGATGATTCGTATTATTCTCCTTCAAGACTTGATTACGCCAAAGATATTGTAAGGGAGAGAGCACACGGGCGCTGACACCGATATTATGCTCGTTTATTCTGTAAACGGCATGTCGCGTTCCTATTTCTTGAAATGAAATAAAGTTTTCGTATTAAATACATATATTGTGTAGACCGTCTTGTTGAGTAAACATAAAGTCTGTTGATAGAATTCATTTTAGTTTTTGCTTTTAAATTACATTAGCGCCTCGTTTGGATGCCGAAAATTTTAATCCTTTCTCCCTATTACTTTTTTCGGCTCGAACATATCCGTCCACCTCGAGGCAAATAGGTCAATATAACATTTTACAGGTTCTCATACAAAAAGGGTGCATGTTATTACAAAATGACGTGTGAAATGAAAACACGTCTTATTTGCATAATAAGAAGCCCGACGGCTCCCCTAGGAAATAATGACGAAGGAAGTTTCGAGAACGCTATGGGCGACAAATGAAAGCTGCTTCGAAGAAGTGGAGAGAGAAGTGGAACATTGGATTCTTTATGTTTACCCTTAAAGTTGATTAAAGTTTACCTACAAAATTACTTTGAAATAAAATCGAAATTAATTGCTTTAAAGAATTTTCAAGGTCAACGTATTTAAACAAAACACATATACATATACTAATAATCATTACTACATACATTGTGACTTTCTCAGTTGTATGTTCATTGTCACGTTTTCCAAGCTGAGTAACAGCGCTGTGTGCAAGCGTCCCATTTGAAACCACCTCGTTAGAACTTGATTAGAGAGGCCACAATGCGATAACAAGCTCGGCTTACAAGCCAAAACTTCTGATTATCTCGTTTATGGGTTCTGCAAGTTTTTAAAGAAATGTCTTCGCGAATTAGCTGTATATCAGGAAATAATGCCCCGGGCGGGAGGAGACGAGGGTGTCTGGGGGAACAAATTGTCAATTTATACCGTATTAACAGTCTGTTGCTTGGAATTGCTTGTGTTTGAGTGCACGGCTTTTTAAAGCTATTGAAAGTTAGTCAGTTCATATGAAGTGTCTCAGTCATAGGTACTTGAGTCTCTGTGCGTTAGAAGTTTTCAAATTGGATATAATCTTGCGCTTTATTTTCCGCAGGGTTAAGTCATAGTTCGTTTATTGGCCCTTTGTAATGTCTGCTATTCTACCTTATGACTAATACATGGATAAATCCTTTTGTCATCATTATCATGATTACCCTAAGTGCCCACTTGCTGAGCCTCTTCGCACTTAGAGAAGGTTCGAGCTTTAGTCGTTACTTTAATTAGAAATTATAAGTCCAGATTTCCTCAAACTTTTATGGTATACCTTTTTCCATATGTCAGTGGTGTCTATATAAATATTGTGAGTAACTTTACCCGGAAAAGGTATCAATGGATCTAAAGTTGAACTTAAACCGTCGAATCTATTACTACATTAAAAAAACCACTAATTTCTAAAGTCTTTATGAGAATCAATTCTGAGCTGGTTCACTACTACATTTTACAATTACTTGATAAATCCTTAATACATTTTCATTCAAAACAAAAGATCTACTTACCTACCACACACATACGATCCAGAGCAACTTCAAAGTTTAAGTAGACAGTTGAAAATTGGCATATTACTCGACAATGGCTGTGCAATCACAAATGCATTAGTCCAAGAGTGCTGAAGTCACCCGGTTCTCTAGCTGACCGTATGCAAACCTACTCGGTAATCGAACCAGCGTACCGTCTCAAGTGATTCTATACTGGGATGTGGAGAGGAGTCACTTGAGATCTATTTTGGATATTGATTTTTCTTTTATATATTATTCTTGATAGCGTATGGTATTTGGATTACATGATGAGTCGGTTAGTTGTGATGACGAGAGAGTTTGGTCGATAATATTCTTGGATATTAATTTAGATGCCATATGGCATTACGTTCACACATCATATCTTCAGTCTATAAATGCCCACTGCTGAGAAAAGGCCTCTCCTCAAACTGAGAAGGTTTGAGCATTAACCACCACGCTTGCTCAAGGCGGATTGGCGATTTTAAACTTTTAATTATAAATTTTAAGTCCAGGTTTCCTTACGATGTTTTCCTTCACCGTTTGTCGGTGATGTCTAAATAATCTTGAAAACTACATAGACTCGGAAAAAGTCATATTGGTACTTGCCAGGTTTCGAACCCTCCTCATCCTCCTTCGCATCCTCATGCATGAGAAGGCCTTAACTTCGGGCCACTATGACATTAAGTCCACCTCATGTTTATTATATGTACATTAAAGTATAAATAAATCAATCAATAAATATTAATTGTGAATACTAGGTTCCAGGAATACAGGCCTATGGTAAGGTATATTTGGTCTTCATGGATAATGGTAAAAACAAGCTTATAGCTCGATGGAAAGCTGTTCTGATAGCCAACGGCTGTGTCCAACAACAGAAGCAAATCCCTATCTTTCTTAATCTTTTTTTAATAAAGACATATTTTTGTATTTACAGATAAATTGGTAATAATATGCATGTTTTTGCCGTACAGAAAACCGGCATGAAATAGCGCTAGCGTTGTTTGCACCGTGTGATTGAGACTACCAGAGGTCCAATCCTGCCCCCTCCCAACCACAATTCAGTCAGCCTTCGTTATTCCAAAAGGCAATGACGCATTTATAACTTCTCGTTGTTGCAAGTGTGTGAAGGCGGCGCCGATAGCTTACTATCAGGTTATGAGTCTGCTCGTTTCCCATCTACCCACATTTTTTATTTTACTTTATTGAGACATAAAACAGTTACACATTACAATAAAGTATGACACAATATATTTAAAACTAAGTAAACGTGTAACCAACACCAATGTCCGCGAAATAATAGCTTAAAAAATTATTCAACCCGTGCGTTAATCATACAGGAAATTTAGTAAGGAATTACTCGTGTGTTACTTGAGGTAATAAGAGTTAGATAACTACTTTAAGGATTCAAAAAATGTATTCACGGATCTAGGCGTCACCCACTAAATTATGATTTACTTACATAGTTCATTGCTAATTATGTATTTTTGTTTGGCACAGTACTACTAAGAAACAACCTCATTGACAACTTTCCCATAAAACATAGATACTTGAAAAAGCTTAATTGTAATTCATGTACGGAGCCCGCTTGCGTTCCTATCAGGAGCTCGTAAACTGTAAATACAAGTTAAGAACGATAAGACAAATGGACCATCTTATCCGCACCGTACGAAATCAAGACTAATATCTTCACGCTTCCAATCTAAAAGGGTGAGCCAGGAAGTCTTTAAGACTTTAATGAAGATTTCCTAGGTACACAAATTAGTTTTCGAAGATAACAAGGTGATTTTAAGTTTTGGATTTATCATCGCGGATTAGATTGTGTTGGATATATATGTATAATATTATATCTTTAATTCATGTATTTCACTTGTTTATAGTAGCTTTACAAATTATTTGAATTTGATTTACTGTTAAAAATTGTACTAAGTATGTAAGATCAGATGTTGACAACGACTGCACAGTTAGCGCGATGGCTGGGCAACAGGCCGCCACGCAACGTGCCAGGCATTCAATTCCCGCATGGAAAAACTCTTTGTGTGATGCACAAATTGTTGTTCCAGGTCTGGATGTGATCAGCCGGGGTTGCGGATTAAGCGCAATGAATCACCGCGGCCTCGGCCCAGAGCAGGAGAAGGAACGGCGGGGGTTTTTAGTCAGTAAGAGTCTGACATTCTCTCTCGCCTTACCCTGGGCGTCATTAATAAATTTCCCCTGACAAAAAAAGGTCTAGGTGTGATGTGTGCGTGAAATCGTATGTTCGTAAACGCACCCACAATGCAGGAGAAATTCCAATGTGGGGCAAAGTTTTTTCAACGAAAAAAACATGTGCTATGTTTATACCTGAAACTTTATAAAGGACGCCAAAACGTCGTCGTTTATACAAAATTAATCAGAGGTTGGATTGAGTATTGGATTCATTCACTTAAATTGTCTATCAAGGTATGTAAACGTATAACGTTAAATAAATGTTTGTAAAATTTCGATTAAGTATACATATGTATCTCCATAATTGTAAAACTTTATAAATCGAGGAACTTATAACACTTATTATAAAGAATTAAAGTTAGTACGAATCCTGACGGCTGTCATCGTCGATAAAAATTAAAAAGTAATAAATATGCAAACGAACCGAGACCCAAAGTTGGACGATTGGCGCAAAAATCTTCGTTTAATAACCCTTTTTATGAGCTCGATGTCTTTAACGATGTTCCGTGGAAATGTTCAGGCAATCAAACTTGATTCTGTTTCATTACAATAATTAGAGTTTTTGAGTTAGTTAAGTATGTATAGCTACTAGCCACTGTTCTAAATAATTGCAAAAATGTTTATTAGAAAGTACACGAGTAAATAAATGGTCTACTTGAATTAAAATGTACGGGACATATCCCCTAGATGGGGCAGAAAGTGGTTTATAAAAAACCTCGATAGGTCTTCAGCTTGTTCGTGTTCGTCGCTTCTGCTATCACAGTGGTTTAGCAAAGACGGCCACACAAGCGTCCTTTTGCCTTGAGGATGGAATCCTCAAAAATTGTAATAACACGTTGTGTATCGTAGTGAGAGTGAGGTAATTGCAGTCCCATTCCCTCCCCCCTAATCCCCAAGTTCCCTATTCTCCCCTCTCCATTCTCTATCCTCAAATTCCCTATCCGGAAATCCCTAACAACCCACAAGAGGCCGGCAACGCGTTCGTCCTCTGGAGTTGCGGGTGTCCATGGGCGGCGCCGATTGCTTACCCAGGTAGTTCGTTTATCACCACTTAAAAAATCAAGTACAACTTCATCGTGTTACAGGAATATATTATTGCACGGCACAGGTGTTGCGACTGGGTCATCAATTAATGAAGTACTTACATAATTCTTTAAAAAATATTTATCCAGTTTTGTTCCTACCAAGCACATAATATGAACAGCTCTATTGTCTCTTTATACTAAAAATATTCACTGTTGGAATATTTAAACTACCATGTTTGTGTTGACAAATACTGCTAGCTAGGTATCATGTGATTCATCATTATGTGTCAGCTATGTTTTATGAGGCGGCGTCGCCTGGCTCTGCCCAATTTCACGCACCAGCGCCCTCTATATACGTTGCACTACATCCAAATATGCGACCGATTTAAACGGTCGCCGTGTTAGAACGGACACTGATTTTCACAGAACGTACAGAATGTTTTTTTTAATTGGAAGTTGTGTTTACTCTTTTTATTTGTTTTTTTTTTTAAGTTTAGGTATATCTATTGTAATAATTATTAATTGATATTTGTATATATATATATTGTTGTGTATTATAGAGTTTAATTTTTATGGACTGCTAGCATTCAATTTTTATATTATTTTCTGATCAATTAAGTTGTTATAAATACCTACTTACTTCTTTTTTCTCCTATTTAAATATATAAGTTGACCCACTATATGACATTCTACTGTGTTGTAAGTGCGTTTAAAACATACAATTTTACATACACATCACACCCAGACCTTGAAAAATAATTTGTAGATCACACAAAGAATTATTCTGTGTGGGAATCGAACCCACGTCACGTTGTGCGGTAGCCAGTTGCCCAGACTTCGCACCAACCTTGCAGTCAATACACTTACCTTGACATAAGGTTAAAGATTACGACCTCATCGATCATCGATGCTGAAATAACTTAGCAGATAGTCCCTTTTATAGTTTTGTTACAAGTGTGTTCCGGTACAAGACATTCAAGGATCATATCCGATGCGTCTTCTAAACCCAAAAACATAAATCTGCCACAACCCACACTTAAAGCAACAATTAACAAATGAAACATTCAGTTAATTACGGTACCTAATTCTTTCATACGACAATCCAGCGATTCAAAGCCACCAAATGTAAAACAGTAATAATGAAGTTCCACATTGAGCTCCATTGCACCCTGTGCGCCAATAAAACTGAGGTCTAGATTTATGTGAACATGCGATAATCATAAGCGGAACACAACACGCGTTTTATTGCCAGCCGGCATTCTACTTCCAGGTTTATTTGCATATTATTCCTTTATTACTCTCTCAGAATTCATATGCTAATGTCAACGACGATATTTTCGATCCCACGGGTATCCTCACGGATGTGACCCTAAAGATTCCGACACGTTTTATGTGTGTTTCAGCGGGTTTCATTTGAATATGTTTTAAGTTTGCGAATTTATTATGTGCCGAGTTCTGGTCAGTTTTTTCAGGGTGTCTCTTAGATGCTTTCTATTCCCTTTAAGTATAAGAAAAGTATTAATGTCTTTGTCATATAAAACGTTTCAGATTTATCGATATTTTTCACAAATTACTTTACATCTGAGTACCTATGTTAGGCAGGATATGTAGTTGAGATAAATTTGCAAACTGGCCATAAACTGGTTCAGAAAACAATAATAATTGATTGAATTACAAAATTTCAACTGCACTGAAACTCGGAAAAGTTTTTATTCGTCCATCTCGTGGATTTAACATCCGTGAAAACGCAACAAAGTACAGATAATGTACGGGGCCCAGCCACCCATGTAATGGTTTTATTCCGAGCGACGCGACGCGGCGATACCTCCACCGTCTTGTTCGACGCACCTGTGATATCCCGGGCTTACTTCTAACCCGCTAATTGCTAAGAGGATTCCAGTATTAACGAGAACAGATCACGTTTTTGCGTTGAATACCTAATTTAGAATTGAAGTGGATCGTCTTTTGTTCTAAGTAGACGTGTTTACCGAGGAAACTAAGAAACTTATTAATATTTTTATGTGACAAGCCAATAGTGAAGAAATCCTTGCTATTTTTTGTGCAGTATATTATTTTTATAAATTACTGAACTGTCTGTTTGTGACGAAAGATTGAAAAAATAGTCAATTCATTGTCAATACTAGTTTATTTGAATGAGAATAGATTAGAGTTTTGAATATCAAGACAGCGAAATATCAAAGCATTGATACGATATTTAAATAAAAAAATCATTCCAATTAATTTGAAATAATAAACGCGAATAAAACGGCCAGTGTCCAGTTCACAAACATTGGAGCGACAATTGCAACCAACTGGTCGATTTTAATTTGTAATCCGGTGTGGCGATTAAACGTCGACCGGTAAATACGATTGCCGGATTAAAAGTCCACAGTTCATTTAACAGCTGCCTCAGTAATACCGTGAAAGCTTATTTTAATTCGGCTAATTAATGTCCAATTGTTTCACGTATCGAGTCGCTAGTAAATTGTTTTAATAATAATATTTTTATATCCGTTGTTTTTTTAAATCGTCTACATTCTATGTCAACATGCCTTCGAGCTATTGTTTTTAATTTTTAAAATTGGAATGTAAAGAGAACGGGGTCGTGTCATTTAGAAAAGAGGTCTGATGAGAAAAAGAAAACGGGCCATAGATACAGTGACGTTTGACACCGTTTTGATCCGGCATTACACTACACATTGTGTGACTGTCAGTCTAAATATGAAAGGCTGTCCTTTTTTCAGGCGGGTTTTAGGACAATACACATTGTTTGGATGTAAGTTCTACATATATTATGTAGGTTTTGATGTTCGTGGTTCAATATTATGTAAAAATTATTGCCAGACAACTATAGAATTTGCGACTTTGCCCTTTAAATAGAATATGCGAAAAACCGTGTACAAATTATACAAATAAGTACTTACCTACATACGTCTAACGATAGATATTACATAGAAACACGTTGTTTATAAACTACATAAGTTTGTAGGATGCATTTTCCCAGAAATATATTCTGATCCACACGATGTACGTCGCTGAACTTTGGCTCAAACAGGTCAGGTTGAGAAAGGCTCTATTTACATGGAATATCGATGTTCTAGCACAGCCTAAAGGCTGCAGTTTCCATTTATGAAACGCGTGTTACTAAAGATCTACAATCTATTTTATTGAGGTATATGAGTCCTATATATAGTGTAAATTAGTATAGTGTGTTCAGTTACAATATGAAATGACTTCTCTCGCGTACAGTAAAGCGAGAGGAAGTCTCAGAGTCTTGTTGACTAGAAACTCCTCCGTTCCTTCTCCTGTTCTAGGCCGAGGCTTTTTTTGTGAGGGGAAAATCATCAAATGACTTCGCCCGCCGAGGGCCGGGCGGGGAGGTAGTGTCAGACTCTTACTGACTAAAAACCCCCCTGTTCCTTCTCCTGCTCTGGGCCAAGGTCGCGGTGCCTCATTGCGCTTACCCCGCAACCCCGGCTGAACATAACAGCCCTATAGGGCCCCGTCCGTGGTGGTCTATTGGCTCTTTGAGGCGCGCGCGGAACGCTACGCGCCGTACGCTCGAGCCTGATTCTGGTTGGGCGGTGAGCTGATTCTAGGCCGTGGCTGCGGTACCATATTGCACTTGCCCCGCAACCCCGAACCCTGCCTGCATATTGACTCTGTTGGGCCCCGTCTGTGGTGGTAATGGCTGTGTGGTGACTGATGTTGCAATTACAGTTTTTCCAAAAATTACGAGTACATAATGTTTGATTAAATACTGGAAGTTAAAAAAATGCAGGTTTCTGTAAAAAGATTCGATTTCGCACCTTCATATACAATATGTATAAAGTTCAAACTGGTGAAAATAATGTTTGTAAAGATTTTAAGGAAATGTTTCGCAGTAGCCATTCCTTTGAAGTTGTAAAATGTACACATATATTTGTAGTACGTGCGTATGTATTAAAATATAGGTTCACAGTTGGATAAACTGACTTACATGTTCACAAAGGAAAATATATTTTTCTTTACTTTCTTTTAATTTCTGAGCCATTCTTTGTATTACAAAATATCATTATAACTTCATCATGCCATCTTACTTTGACGTGTAAACATACGAATTGTTCATGTGTGTAGTGTTTGAAAAACAAATTTTGTTTAGGTAACCTATCTACACCATTTTATTTATAATATCATTGGACCATACGGTATGCTGTTCTAGTATTTCTAAAAATTGTATTACAAAATCGTATCCAACACATGTCTTTAGGAGATTTTATTTATAAATACAAGTTCATACTAGCCTAAGTGGGTATGGAAAATACAGTTAAAAATATAACTCCTACCCTGCACCGGTAGCTCAGCTCGCAACATGTCAAGGACGCAACTAGCTGCCTATACTCGCTGTTCAGACATGGTGACTTATTTTTTTTTTATGTTATAGGTCGGCAAACGAGCTAACGGATTACCTGATGGTAAGCAATCAGCGCTACCCATGGACACTCGCAACGACAGAGGAGTTACGAGTGCATTGTCAACCTTTTGGGGATTAGAGATTTGGAGATTTTAGGAAAGGGAACGGATTGGTTTAGGGGAAGGATTGGGCCTTCGGTAACCTCACTCACACGGCGAAACACAACTTTGGTTATTTCACGTCGGTTTTCTGTGAGGCCGTGGTATCCGATCGAGCCGACTCATTCATGCCGAAGCATAGCTCTCCCACACTTAATTGTCTATTTTACTTATGTAGTTTGAAGCGATTACATAGTCCATGTCTCACATGTCTGCACGTATTGACTGTATATTTCTATGTAGGTAGATTAAGCCGGCGTTCCGCGGCAAGCGCCGTTACATACTGCGACCTCAGCCTAGAGTAGGAGACACAAGACAGAAGTTGGTTTTTAGTCAGTAAGAGAAGAGTCTGACACTCCCTCTCTTTTCAACCAGGGCGGAAAAAGTCCTTTGATGATTTCCATAAAAATATGCGGTTAAGCTCATCGTTCACTGATAAGTTAAGATTGCAATAGACCCGCATTATCATAGCATATAAGCCATATTGTACCCAAAATAAATTGTATATGTAAAACACCTTATCCTGTTAAATTTTTTCGATCTTTTATGAATTACTTCACCACATTTTAATTAAGGTTAAGTAAATACTGCATACGGCAAATGATCTTTCACCCAATCCAATTAATTTAATTTAAAATCAACACTTAGTTTCTGAAATAAACCATCAATAGAAGGCTAGGAGAAACGCTTTTTTTATTTTAAATTAATACTTGAATTTGAAAACATTTTTTAAACTGAAATGTGTCCTAAATATGAAAAATAAAATGGTAATAATGCATCTATGGTACTTTTTATCTAATATTTTTAAATGCCTAAGTTATTATTATTCCCGAATTACTAGTGAGATATCGCAAAATAGCTCCAAAAATTACGGAGAGCAGCAGTGTATGCACGGAGAGCAAATCTCAAGTGTGCCCCGGTTACGTAGCAAACGAGGCTGGTACGTAATTGGTTGGAAAATTCAGAAGGCTTACCCGGTTGGCCAGCCTGTATCGACATGCTAGTGCCGTCGAAATATTTTGCCTACACGCTTTTCTGATACTATTAGTAGCAAATTGTAAGGAAAATTGGTGGCAAACTGCCGAAAATTCTGTGTGCCGAGGTAAGTGTGCGTTTTTTGGCCGCATATTTTTTTTTCAGCTTTAAAGTGTTGTCGGGGTTTGCGTCAGGCCAATAGACCACGCGAGACAGACAAGGAGGTCATTTGATGATTTTCCACTGACAAAGAGAAAAGCAACAATAGAGAAATTACAACTGCGTTGCTTCCCCTTTAGGGAATGTAAGGATTTGCGTATTGGGGAATTGGAGATTTGAGAAGATGAGTCATATCATAAAGAGACCTATTTTTACACTA